ATTCAGCATTATATATGGAATCAGAAATCAAAAGTCTATGAATGTGTTCTGAATAATCATAACCTGAGGAAGGTATCCAATATCCACTTCCATGTTACTGGTCTCGCTGGCCCCGTACAGCCACTCCATGTCCACATTCAGAGTTCTGCCATACAAAACACACACTCAAATGGTTAAACCAATAAGTCATTTACACTGCTTATAAAAATAACTGCAAAAAATAAAAGTCTAAATTCTAACATTAATTCCAATAATTATTTAAAATGATTTATGTTAATGTTTTTTAGTGCTATTATGAAAGCGTGTGCAGTATGAAGAAGACAACAATGATTAATATGCAGTGCAGTGTGATTGTGTTATGTGTGTAGTTCACATTTACTTGTCAGTTTATAAATTAACATTTTTATACATTCACACCATCACACATTCAATATCAAGAATATTTTTACAATCATTGCTATTAAATGACTTGTTCAAAGCAGTGAACTCATATACGGACAAAGTAAGCAACCATCTTTATGATTGAGTCGTTAAATAGATTTGTTCCCAAATGCAAATTAATTTCAGACCATGCTAATTGTGTGGGACAGGGCTCTTTTTTGAGAAAGCAAGGCCTGTATTAAGTACAATAGGGTTAGAAGTAGGACGACACAGTGGCGCAGCTAGGTCAGTTGGCATTTCTGTATGGAGTTTGCATGTTCTCCCCATGTTCGTGTGAGTTTCCTGGGGCTGCTCCTGTTTACCCAACAGTCCAAAGACATGCTGTAGGTGAATTGGGTTAGCTAAATTGTCCATAGTATATGTGTGTATGTCCTGGTCCTCCTGATTGGGGGTTGAGAGTTGGGCTAACAACTCACCTCATAAAAACTATATTTTACGAAACACCAATATGGTGCAGCTAAATATCAATATGTTGAGACATAAATGGAGGTAAATAAGTAAGCAAGCAAGTAAGGGTTAGAAGTAGAAAAAACAGGCAAACGTCAGATAATAAAAAAAATCTAGAGAAAAATGCACAGGCAATTACGCTTAATTCTCAAGATAAACATGTTGATGCATCAAATGAGCAAATTGGTAATTCTTGCAGATAGAAGTGAAAAGAAGAAGCAAAAAAAAGACATTAAAGACGACCAACTTGTCATTTGGGACGTAGATGTGAAAATCTCGGACATGGGAAGCATCTTTAGAGAGAATAATGTGACCGGCAAACTGCCCAGGAGTGAACCAAAATGGGAAATCTGGAACATCATTTAGCTGGAACTCAGCATGGATTCTGTAAACATTGACCCAATAAAATCAGAATTAGCTGGTTAAAGGCTCACTGTTAAAATAATATTAAAACAGAGACTGCAATCAGATATTCTGGATTGTAGGATAATTTCATAATGGCATTTTTTAATTTGACTTACCTAAAAACAATGTCATAATAAAAGTCACTAGTAGCCCGTATACAAGCCACAGCTCCCTGTGGAGCGAAGCGAGATTTTACAAAAGGCCGTGGGTGAAACATGCTGAGCAGAGAGTGGATCAGCACCTGCAGAACAATCAAATCATTCATCCATCTACTTCACAACCACGCATTATATGTTCAATTGAAATGACTCAGCGTAAAAATCCAAACTTACTGCACTAATTTTTTTAAATGTAAAAGGTATATTTTAAAAAAAATCTGTACCTCCTTGCCTCGCGGTGTGGGAGGATGAAAACGGTTGTTGGGTAGGTAGCCAGTGAAGATGTTCAGTTCACTGGGAATGATCCACCAAGTGTCACCCACGGCCGATTTACCACTGGGCGGCAGGAAGACCTTGAACTGACTTGCATAAAACGTGGATGAAGAAATAGCTGGACGTTTCCAAGAGCGCAGGCCACTAAGAGAGCTGTGGGAGACCTGATGAGAAAGATTATACTTAAAGAACACATTTTAAACATGCTCTTTTTATCATTTAAGTTAATTTAGGCATACAATTTTCATATTACTGATAAATATATTTTTTATATATTCTCTTTTTAAGCATGCACTCTGTTTGTGTCCTTGTTTGTGGATGTATTAATTAACAATAGCCACTTATAATACACCATACTTATAAGTGTATACTTGTTTGTCTATTTGTTAAGCTTCAATACTTTTCATTCTGTATGTTTTCTGTATTTGCATTATTTATAAAAATAAATCAATATTTAGGTTACCCCTAGAAAGCCATCTTTGCTCTTCGTCATGCTTTCCAGCAGCAGTGGCTGCATTTTAGCATGCAGGGTCAGCGTCTCTCCATTTGGGTCATGTGGAATCTCCTCTTCATACTCTGGGGGAGGGGCCACACCTTCAGGCAACAGAGATGGACATTTGATATTAAAACAATGAAAAAGGGATTGCTTTCTATAGTGACGGACATTACGGCCTTGAGGCATCCTAATTCTGCTTTTGTAGACAATGTTTGCTTGTAAAAAGACAGAGAGGGGGGATAGTAATACCTGTGAGTTTTTCTGCGATAGGTTTGAATTCCTCTGGACTGAGATAAAGGTCATGATCAGTATCCAAGGATGAGAAGAAAAACAGTCCGTCTGCTCCCAGTGCCTTCAGTCCTGCCTCCTACAATAGAGATGGTCCACAGAGAAAAGACACCCGAGTTACTTCACATCACTTTGGCTAATCCAATTAATTGAATAGTTATGGGAAAAGACTCATTCTGCAAAAATATATTACTTTAACACTGAATATTTATATTTTCCCATGCTCCTAGATATCCTGGTACTTTATTTAAGGTTTATTAAAATCCACAGAGAAATGGTGCAAGACTAGAGGATTAAACGTATACTTTATTAATGTTTTGGCAGTTTTTATTTCTTGAACTATTTTATATATGTTTTATAATAACCATACATGATTTAGTGGATAAATCAATGACTTTAAAAACATAAATAATATTTGCATTTAACAAAATTTAACAATAATTTTGAAACATTCATGTGTCTATTGCCCTAATTGAATTGCAGGTTTTAATATATTTCTATAAGAGGCGTGATGGCACAGTGGGTAGCACTGTTGCCTCACAACAAGAAGGTCGCTGGTTCGAGTCTCAGCTGGGTTACTTGGTAGTTTCCCCCACAAGACCAAAGACATGCGGTATATGTGAATTGGGTAAAAAGGAGTGTGTGGCTGTTTCCCAGTGATGGGTTGCAGCTGGATCTGCTGCGTAAAACATGCTAGATAAGCTGGCGGTTCATTCCGCTGTGACCACCGCAGCATAAAGGGACCAAGCCGATAAGGAAATGAATGAATACATTTCGATTTCTGCTATTCATCATAAAGTGTAGCTGCATTTTTGCTTGTTATTAATTATTTTACTTCAAGTTCACTCACTGATTTGAATCGAAAGAGGTGATTTTCGATTAATCGAATAACTGTAATGAATTGACTAAAAAGAAAGTCTTTCATTTGGAAACACATGAAGGGTTCAGATGCAAAAAGCCTCTATGTGCCATCTGGAATTTTCTTCTACAATGAGCATTTTTCTCAGTCTCTTATATTTATATTCAGGTATTTTATGTTACTGGCAATAAAAGTAACATATCTTACCCATAAAAGTAATATGACTATATCTACACATAAGAGCTTGACCAAATAAAATTTCAGGTGGCACTGTTTTTGCATTTGAACTCACATGCAACCTGATGATGGCTGCTTCGATGTGCTTTGAACTGAATTCCTGACATAGTTTTTGTGTTGTGTCTGGTTTTGCTGTAGTCCGAGAAGCAGGGCAGTCTGGAGAATCAGTATAATCTCGGAAGTGACACAGAAGTGTGGCTGAGAAAGAAAGAGGGGGTTGGTGTTCAGACAATCTCGACCAGCTGTGGCAATTTAACCCAAGTTCCAACCCTTATAAAACAGCGGGCAGCTGGAGAGTCTCATCCAAGTTTACTGTTACTATAACAAAAGAGGACGTGGCAAATCTGGAACGCAAAACCATGACCACTTTAAATAAATCTCAAGAGTTAGATTTCAAACTAAATTAACATATTGCACTTTAACCAATGGCAAGGATGAGCTGCGTTACAGTTAGACGCTCTGAGAAGCATCCCCCCTTCACGGGTCACACAACTGCTAGCGAATTGTGAACTTACGTGTCGTTTCACAAACTGGATGTCCAGGTAATATTTGATGCAAAAGCTGATGACAGGAATAGCAGCAATGATGAATAAACTGGAGATCTGTGTGAAACGTGAGCGGCCGCGTCTGCTGGATGGAGTCCCGCGATCCTCATGATCATCCTTTTGCTCTCCTGCTGGAGTTTTATCCACGTCTGTGGCCATACTTTAATAAATGTCTTTGTAAATCACGACTGGGCCTCAAAAATAGCCCAAGGGGATTTAAAAACTCTTTAGTCAAGTCACACTGTAGTCATAGGTTGTTCTCCATTGTACAGTGAGCCGTTACATCGTAGCGGCGCATGAGGAAATCACTCCTGCTTCTCCTGACTGAGGATCACGTCTGCGCTCTTAAAGGGCCAGTGTCCACATTCATACTTCCCAATGCTGTGGGCGTGTTTAAATCTTACAAGAAGCCTGTCTGGGCTCGTTTGTCTGAACGTGGATACGAATGTGTATAACGATGGTGTCTAGATAGGCAACCGAGAAGGCTTTGAAACAGCATATAATGCATGGCCATAATTACAAGGTTTGTGGCCAAAGAATGTACTGTATCTGTCTTTTTGTCCTCCTTGCTAATACAGTTAAACATTTGAACAATGTTCTTGAAAATAACACTTCAACCACAGAAAGACTTGATGTGGACACTTGTGCTGTTATTGTTTTACAGTCAGTTCTATTTATCTTTCACTACTACTAACTAGTTAAACATAATTATTACGTCAACAGTGCTATGAAAATCTAAGAAACAATTAATAACAATCTAAAGGAGGATTTGTGTGGTAATTTCAACCATAAAACCATAACTCGGGATCACACAATCTGTAATTCCATATTCCATATTCATTCAAGACAAATTAATGGATTAGGTTTGTAAACAAACCATTTACTGGCTTGCAGAGTAATTTATACTTTACAATTAAATGCATGTTTAACACGTACAAGTGTGTCACTAACCTAAATGACCTTGGCATACTATAGATGTGGACACTTGACTTCTAAGTACTTATGGATTAATGATTTCATCACAGATCGTTATTCACACACTCAGAATGAACATCGTGAGTCTTTCAGTCGCAGAAGGTTGCTTGCTGAAAGCAAAAAAACATGTCAACGTTCACAACAGTGAACACTTTATTGACACTGTGCCAGCTGAGGACCTTTACATGTAGACTTTCCATCTCCATAAATTAACATCAACTCTGAAAGAAGTTAAATTGGTCTCAGTCCAGACCTAATAGTTTAAACCAGTCCATAAAGAGGTAGACAAGTAACTTTTCAGTCCATATCTTCCTCGACCTGCTGTGTGTGAACCTCTAGGGTTTTTGGTGGGATGTAGGAGCCCATTCCTGCTGCTCGCTCAGCTTCAGCCTGTGTGTATGGCTCTTCCCTAAGCTGCTTTAATCTACAATACAACACACAAACAACACATAGGATGAAAATCTGAATAACCAAACATGCATTATCTTTTGCAAATCTGAAAAAAATAAAATAAAATTTTGACGTACCGTTTTTTGTGGGGTTTGGATTTGAAATGCTCCTTTAAGGTTTTCAAGTCAACAAAATATCTCCTAAAATGTTTTTGGTGGAAAAAAATATTATATAAAACATGTATAAAGGATTTACATTTAAAAAAATTGAATAGAAGTAATGTGTTGTGTGTTTAGGAGTGTTAAAGTGTGACTTACGCGCAGTGCAGACAGTAATGCTGGCCACAGCCTGTAACATCATAATCTACATCTTGCTTTAGCAACTTGGCAGCATTTGTAGGGATCATGTCTGCATGAATCTGGTCAAGGTCTTTTGTCCTGCGCTTAGTCTTCCATGTCTTGGCGATATTCTTCTTCTTTCCATTGTTGTGGTTTCCTACCTGTTTGGACTTACCCATGATCTGAAAACAAGAGGACAATTTCCAAATTCTGTTCTCAAACTTAAAGCAGAGTGAGTTCAACGATAAATAAAAGAACTGCAATACCCCAAAAGATGATATAATTTCAATAAATGATGTAATATAATTGCGAGTAAATTTTGCTGTCCTAACCTTCCCCTTATACAGATATGCCCAAAGTAGGGCCTGCAGGCAAAAGTTGGAAACCTCATAAGTTGAACCATTGTAACCTTTGGAAAAGGGAGTAAGATGGAGAGGGTTGGGGCGGACGCCTTTAACACAGAGATCGTCATTTCTAATTCAACGTGACCTTTTTGTTTGTTTAATTGCTGAGTTACAAAAAAGCAAAAGGAAAGTAAAGTTTTCAATGAAATGTTGTAAATGAACCTGACTTTTAAAAATGTAAATACTGTCAAATAGAGGACAATGCAGTGTAATCCTTTATAAATGAGATTGTTTTGGTTTTATTGTAATGAGTTATTTATTACATGTAAAAAAAACTGTGTTAGTTAATATAAAGCAATGTTTTCTAGTCATTTTAAAAAAATATTAAATAAACTAAGAAATTACCCAACTAGCCTATATTTACCTTCAACCCAGTAGCCTAAATCAAGTTGGGTTCGTGGCGCTTCATAAAAATAAGTTTGGGCACCCCTGCCCTAATATAAGAACAGAAAAGCTGAGCTTTCAAATGTCTCAATAACACGTTTGTTATAGTTTTAAAAAGTTACAAATTAAACACCATTCTTAAAATAAGCTACATTTTAACTGTAAAAGTGGAAATTGCCTCGTAAGAAAACACAGTAAACAAATACACTCAATAAAGTAAAATGTCGTCTCGAAATATGTAACCCCAAAACAAGCTTTCTACATCACAATAAGCCCACCTTTGGCAAGTTGTCATTATCAATTGTTAGGCTGTAAAACTAAATAAATATCATTACTCACGATAATACGCAGAAGCCTCGCCGTACACACGTTGAAAACCCACAGGAACAACTTCCGGGTCGTTGAAGGGTGCATTAAATGTGTGCGTCCATCTTTAGATGGCAGTACAGACAGTTTTTGACTCAAAAACAACCCTACGAAGAAGACCTGTGTCGTTACTATGGAGATTCTGTCACAACTATTCTGAATGACTGGATGAAGAGATTATAATAAAGCTTTTACTCAGCATCATGTCTGGTGAATATATACATACTATAATACTAATGTTGCTATAATATAATGTTACCTGTTGAACAATGTAAACTCTTATCTTTTTAATAACTTTAATATTTAAATGCAATGGATCAACGCTTCTGCTTTTTCACCGCAGAGACAACACTTCAAATCTGCTACGTTTTTCCAAATGGAGACAAATATGGTAAGTAAACGTTTTCCACATCATTTTGTTTTCCATTAAAAGGCGGGTATTTATTTGTGTGTGTGTGTGTGTGTGTGTGTGTGTGTGTGTGTATGTTATGATCAGAGGGCGAGTGCTGTCGGACTTCAGATGGTGTGATCAGGAAAGGGTCTGGAACGCAAACATCAGCTTCTGGAGCTACATACACGGGGGAATGGGACAATGATAAGGTAAATGGAAGACATGATAAAGAAAATCTGAATAATTGAAATATTGTAAATTGTTTCAAACTGGGGTCCACGTTTCCCATGTTGCCACAAGAGAGTGAAAAACAAAAATTGCAAAAAAAAAAAAAGTTTAAAAGAAAGAAAAAAAAAAAGAAAAAAAAATATATATATATAATTTTTTCTTCTTTCTTTTAAATATATTTAAAATTTCTTATTAAAATATATTTCTTTATTTCTTATATTAATATGTTTCTTATATATATATATATATATATATATATATATATATATATATATATATATATATATAACTAATCATTATTAATAAAGTATGCATAACTAATAAGATATCATTATTAATAACATAATTTATATTGCAATTTAAAAAAATAATGCATTACATTTTTATATAAAATAATAAATAAATAAAAACAGTAATAAACAATCATCATATAATCATTTTATTTAGATAAACAGCATAAAATAATACCAAACTGTAAATTAAAATTAGTCAATTTAAAATCATATAATTGAAAATATATATGATAAAATATACAATTAATAAACATAATTCATTCATTCATTTTCTCTTCAGTTTAGTCCCTTCTTTAATCAGTCGCCACAGCGGAATGAACCAGCAACCTATCCAGCATATTTTTTATGCAAAGGATGCCTTCCAGCTGCTTTTACTAGGAAACACCTATACACACTCATTCACACACATACGCTATGGACAATTTAGCTTACCCAATTCACCTATTGCACGTCTGGGGGAAACCGGAGAACCCGGAGGAAAACCATGTGAACACAGGTAGAAAATGCAAACTTCACACAGAAATGCCAGTTGACCCAGGTGAGGCTGGAACTAGCTAACTTCTTGCTATGAGGTGACAGCGCTTACCACTGCGCCACCGCACCGCCCTCCTAAACATGAATAATTAAATAAGATTAAATTAAATAAATGGGCGAAGCAGTGGCGCAGTAGGTAGTTCTGTCGCCTCACAGCAAGAAGGTTGCTGGGTCGCTGGTTCGAGCCTCGGCTCAGTTGGCGTATCTGTGTAGAGTTTGCATGTTCTCCCTGCGTTCGCATGGGTTTCCTCCGGGTGCTCCGGTTTCCCCCACAGTCCAAAGACATGCAGTACAGGTGAATTGGGTAGGCTAAATTGTCCATAGAGTGTGAGTGTGTGTGTGTGAATGTGTGTGTGGATGTTTCTCAGAGATGGGTTGCGGCTGGAAGGGCATCCGCTGCGTAAAAACTTGCTGGATAAGTTGGCGGTTCATTCTGTTGTGCCGACCCTGAATTAATAAAGGTAATAAGCCGACAAGAAAATTAATGAATAAAATTAAATAAATCATTCAAAATGTTATTTTAATGAACAATAAAATAAGTGCATGAAATGGAAATTGTTACGTTTTTAATTGTAATAGTTATGTTTCGTTTGCTTTTGCTATGTGGCCTGTAGATGAACGGCAGAGGAACTCTTACACACCCATCAGGAGCATTTTACAGTGGTCTGTTCAGAGAAAACATGTACCATGGCAAAGGAACTTACCGATTTCCTGATGGCTCAGAATACACCGGATCCTTCAACAACAACAGGTGACACCTGATCAAACTAGTACTTGCACACAATGGCTCATGTGCTAGCTTTATGTGCAACATGGAAATCAGCTTTATTTTCAGAAGAAAAGATTTGTTTCAGCCGCAGGCGCTCCTTGTAATCAAAAATGAGATATTTATTTATTTTGAATGAAAAAAATATACTATATTTCAGTTCAGTATTGTTTTTAAATAGATTCTATGGTAATAAAGTATTTACAATTCATTTTTCCACCTTTTGAGCATAGACCTGAAAATGAAGTTCACAACTCTAGCTGTTGTAAATCCTAAATGTTTTGGAGCAAAGAATTAAGCACAATTCGGTCACTTTTTAAAGAAGATACTCACCAGATTATCACTGAAGAAGAAAAAGGAGAAGTTTATATTATGAAAAGTGCACATACATACTATTTTCAAACACGATCTGAAATATATATATTCCAGAATATGTTTAGCTGTAGATCTGCAAGAAAAAATATAGCCATAATTTCGAATCTAAGGTTGATCTTTTAAAAACTTGTTTGTGTGCAGCACCAAGCATTATTCATTAGTTTCAGAAGCATCATTTTTGACCACAACTAACACAAGCGTGAGCATTCATTTTTTTCAGGACAGATTAATCTTTTCAAATCATGTCCATGCACTTGGCCAAGTTTTGTATTCTTCCAGTGAAATAAAAAATTATTATCTAAAAGCCTAAAGAACCACAAGACCAAAGAGCACCAGAGGCATAAAGTCTGAATTCATCTTTTTCAGATTCGAGGGTGACGGGGAGTTCACAGATTCACAAGGACTCGTGTGGACTGGCATGTTCCATAACAAAGCAGCGCTGGGATTAAAGCTCCAAGTCAACATGTGACTGATACACAAACACAGACCATTTAAATGAATTCGATGAAATTAACGCCCCTTGAAACTACTAAGAGAAATCTTTGATACACAGTGATGCATTAGCACAGCCAGCGTCCCTCAGGCATTGATGAGATCTCGTCTGCCAATGAAATAAGCTCCAATAGCACACACTGAACATCAAGAACACATGTTGTTCCCACACACGCTGCACTTCAGAATGAATCACTACTTTGTTTGGTGCAACGAGTGACAGGAATGTGATTCTTCGTGTACCGTTCAGCCATTGGTCGTGCGCATATCCAAAATACACGAGCTCTTGAAAGCAGACGAGCTCATGACTGTGGCGAGAAGTCAGGAGTTGGTAAGATCGTCAAGCTCAATTTCCTCTGCAGTGAGAACAGTTTACTGTGGATCAGAAGAGCTCGATTTACAGCAGTTCACATCCAATTCTGCTTTAAACCAGTGCGTTTGATTGGATTTAAAACTTTTATTTGGTCCATTGTTATACCTCAATTAAATTTGGTATGACTCACTTCTGAGTTTTATAGCAGTCATTTTGTGGGTGTTTGTGTTCACATGTCTAACGGATCCCTCCCAGAGCTCATACAGAGTTCACTGCGAAACAGAAAATTGGTCTTAAAGGTTGAAGAGGAAATTTAATCGTCTGATTCTGAGGCATAAAAAATGCTAACAGACGTCTTTATCGTTTTCTCTCTCTCTCTCTCTGTTCATCTGTCCACTTACTGTAAAACAAGGCCTCTTTTTGTCTTCGACTTCATCAGACTCACATGTTTCAAAGAGGAGGGGAAGAGATAGGTGGGACAGATGAGAGAGAGAGAAGGAAAGAAAGAATAGTGATAGAAAGACAGTCTCAGAATCAGAGAGCTCTCATGTCATTTCTAACCATATCTAAATATACAAGTGTGACATTTAATTTACTTGTAAAACTGTCAGTTTGAGCAAGGAAACTCAACTAGAACAAGGATCTGAATTGCCAGTCTTGGATTTGGATATGGAAGAGCATCAGATCACGGAGAATGGCAAGATACAGGGTAAACAATTGTTGTGTTCCATCTGTAGAAGTGCTTAAACTTTTATGTAATGGATTAACGCTAGTTCTTCAAAAAAAAAAAAAAAAGAGTTCAGTGAATGACTTTTGACTAATTGTGTTCATTTTGGGTGCGTATTTCTATCAGTTCTGTGCCGTTTCTGCATGAAAGTGTATGTTTGTGTGTGATGCAGGTACGGGGAATGACATTGATGCCATAGACTTTCAGGTAATCTAAATTGCTCTCTGTCACATTCTTTTTTCCATGCTTTAATGTGTGACAACATACATTTTGAGTTTTATTTTTTGATCTCTAATTCAAATCGCATAAGCTTAACACAGATTACTGCTGATAAGAAAATAAGTCATTGAGATAATCAATTGCTAATAGGAAGAGTGTGACTGAACTCAGGCTGGCCACATTTAGCTTAACCCTCCCTAATGCTATTGAGACTGATTTAAAGTTCCTGTCTCCTCTTGTTTAACCCTCACCATTTTTTCCCCTTCTTTCTGAACGGATCTCTCACCGAGTCCTGGTGACCCCAGATTGCTTGTTTTAGTTGCAGGCAATGTGGGTGGAGCTAAAATCAGGAGTTGGAAGTGTGGTTGAAGATTTTGCCACCCTACGGCAAACCTACAGCCGACTGGAAGAGAAAGTCTCCAGCTATCAGCAAGACACCAATGACAAGATTCTATCTCTCAGAAACACACTTAACACACTGCAGGTTCTAACTCACTTTTTAAATATTTGGTGTGCTTTTACCGTTCAAATGATTGTGGTCTTTAAGTTTATAGGTGTTTGGCTTTCTTGGATACTTTTAATAGTAAAAATAATATTAATGATACTAATAATATTCAGCAGGGATGCATTAAATAAATCTAAAGTTACAGTAAAGACATTAATAATTTAAAAGGCTTTTATTTTTAAATGAACTCTGTCCATTTAAACTTTATATTTATCAAAGATTAAATAAAAATGCATGCTTTCACAAAAAAATATACATCCCAACTGCTTTTATATTGACAATAACAACAATTCCGTTTATTAAAATGATTTCCGATGGATCATGTGGCGCTAATGGCTGAAGTAATAATTCTGAAAATTTAATTCAACAGGAATAACATTTACATTGTAAAAATACACAAAAATAATATGAGGTAAGTAATAATTTTCACTGGCATTATTGTATGGCTAATGAACCAATGCTGCCTTAGTGAGCATTAGAGACTTTATAAAGCATAAAAAAATTGTACTGGCCCTTAACTTATGAATGGTAGTGTATATATTATATAAATAAAATATATGACATTTTATAAATTAAAATATTAAATATAAAAATTATGGCATACAGCCATTCTCTTCTAGAATTCCATTATTTTAATGTTTGTAATATTTTACATATAATATATATATTTTCTTTTTGTTTGTTTGTATGCAGGAAGATGTAAGTACAGCTCTCACACAGCTTTCTGAAGTTAGAAGCAACCAAAAAGACCTACAGCGGGACCTGGACCTCATGCAGAGCACACAGCACAGGTGACTTAACTTTCAGCCTGCAGTACATATACTATATCTCTTATCTTTAAAATCCAAACATGCTCTATCCACTCACATAAGCAAAGTTACATCATTTCAAAAACAAGCTCAAAACGAAACAAATGTCATCATATTTATTTTTTTATTATTTGTTGTTATTATTATTGATTACTCAAACAGTGTGTATCAGACTACGATGGCCATTAATGTAAAGAAAATTACAACCAAACAAGCAACCGTATGTGTATTATTTAATTATTTTTTGAAAGCCTGAAATTTTTATAACTTATGCAAAACCATTTTTAACTCAACTAAAGAAGGCATATTATAAGCAAACTCTGCAGCTTTGGTTATTTCATTGGCAGGAAAGGCTCCAGGGGGGAGGGGTCGGTGGATGGACACGCCTCTCTGAATAGCCAAACAGAGATCAGCCTCATTCAGCATTACATCAGCAGCCTATCAGCCAATCCGAGTGAGTATAACAACTTTGAGGCAAATGTGTAAAGCCTGATGTATTCTTGCTTTAAATATGCTTGTATAACAACCACAAGCTGTTTCACATGATTGCCTTATAGTGTATAAGATGACTGCAGGTTGTGTTTGTGTGCTTAGACCCTTTCCCTGAGCATGATGGACAAAAGAAGTCTCCAGTGTGGAGGGAGAGGAAAAACAGCCGAGAATTAAACAACTCAACAATAAGTGAGGGATAAATGTGACTCTGGATCACAAAACCATTCATAAGTGTACATTTCTGGATATATATTAATTCATTTATTGTATTGGCGGCTTAGTCCCTTTATTAATCTGGGACCTCCCCAGCGGAATGAACCGCCAACTTATCCAGCAAGTTTTTACGCAGCAGATGCCCTTCCAGCAGCAACCCATCTCTGGGAAATATATATATACATATATAAATATATATATAATCTGTCTATATATATAAATATATATATAATCTATATATATATATATAAATAAGCTGTGTGGTTTGTTAAAATTGGACAATATTTGGCTAATATACAAAATATCTGGAATCTGAAGGTTCAAATATTGAGAAAAATTACCTTTAAAGTTTTCCAAACTCCATTCTTAGCTATTCATATTACTAATCATAGATTAAGATATGATAGATTAACGGAACAACAATTACTAAATGTCTTTACGGAACACAATCTTTACTTAACATTCTAATGGTTTTGACCCAATTTGCACCCATACAGTGTATTTTTTGATCATTGCTTTAAATAAAGCATTGGAAAATAAGATTGATTTTGTGATCCAGGGTCACATATATGACTTATAAATATTATAATTGGGAAAATGTTCAAGTTTTGCATTTGTAATAACATGGTTGTTATTATTATTATTATTGTTTGTTCATATGTCTTCTCAGCTCAGAGGCAGGCGGCAGCGCTGGAGCTGTTGGAGTCTGAGAGAGTGTATGTGTCGTATCTCTCACTCCTGTTAAAGGCCAACATCAGCTTTAACGGCTCCGAGAATGTCAACCTCAAAGACAAACGGTAATTATGAATCAATCTCACACCAATATAAGGCTTATCAATGTCAAGAAGAGGCTCCTACAACAGTGCAGATTATTAGAAACACAACTAATCCAGCAACAAAGGCCAATTAACTTCTCTTTTGCAAAGAAATCAGTGCTAAACAGTGAATCAGAACTAAAGGGTTTGTTGTGGAATAAACATAATTTAAAGTCTGCTTGAACTGGACACACAATTCTCTCTTGGCAAACTAACGGTAAGAGGCGTGGTTAAGAATGTTGAGAGAAGAAGGAAGAAGGACTGCACCTTGACAAGGGTGGAAGCAAATGGTCAGACTTTGATTGAAGATTACCAAAACAATTTTTTTCAGTAGATTAACTTGAAGAAAAGAATGTGCGCAAGCAAAATAAACATTGTACATTTGGATTTTACACAGACTTTGAAGATTTCATTAGCTTTTTCTTACCTGTTGTTGATTTCAGTATTTGCACATTTATTGAAGGAAATGTAATGAATGACAATGTTTTCTGTGTATATCAGGCCTTTCCCTCCCTCTCTGCGCTTCTTGATTCAGCAGCATCTGGAGCTCCTGCATCTCCTCCAGGAGAGAGTGCTTAAGAGCCACTGGCAAGGCATCATGGGGGATGTATTTCTAAGGCTCACCAGCAAAGAAGTAAAATGTTATAAAGGTTAAAATTGAGCTGCTATGACCATGCCGTGTTCCTTAAGTCCAATCTCAAATGTTGTTTTGCAGAGTGATTTTCTGGACCATTATGTATCGTATCTACGTGACCTGCCAGAATGCTTGACGGTTGTTAGTCTGTTCTCCTCTTCAAAATCAGGCAGCTTACTGGAGGTTTGCATAAGTATACTAAACTCTTTTTATATTTAATTCATGCAGTATATATACAGTTGAAGTCAGAATTATTAGCCCCCCCCCCCTATTATATTATATAATAATAATATTATTATTATTATTATATATATTTTTCTTGATTGTCTGCAGAACAGACTGTCGATATACAATAACTTGCCTAGTTAACCCTATTAACCTAGTTGAGCCTTTAAATGTCACTAAGCTGTACAGAAGTGTTTTGAAAAATATCTTGTCAAATATTATTTACTGTTATCATGGCAAAGATAAAATAAATCAGTTTTTAGAAATGAGTTATTAAAACTATTATGTTTAATGTGTTAAAATCTTCTCTTAGTTAAACTGAGAATGGGGGGGGGTATAAATCTGTAATAATTCGAGGAAGGGGGGGGTGCTAATAATTCTGACTTAAAATATATTTAAAATATACAGCTGAAGTCAGAATTGATATAAGCTCATTTTTGAGGTATCTAGAGAATATAAAAGCATGCTTCTTCCACAAAATAAAATAAATATTTTAAAAGCAAGGGAACTTACTTTATCTCATAATTCTTACTTTTTTGCTTTTGAACTACAACTTTCTTTCTTTCTTTTGAATTTAATGCAGAATTTCAAGAATGTAGTCTCAATTCTAAGAAGAAAGGGTTGAATTGTGAGACATTTATGAGCCATTAAGAAGATAAATGCGAGATTTGTGTGGTGAAAAAAGTCTGTGGCAGCAGTTAGCTTTCATAAGACAGGCACTTGCAGCTATGAAAAATTTAAGAGAAAAAGTTGATGATTTATAGTTATGTGTTTGAGTAAAAATATAAACAAATGATAACAATTCTTCCAAATTTAAAATAGAAATGTCCTTTATAGAATTTATACAGAAATAAATATGGTTTTAGTATGTTAGTTGTATTTTTTAAAATGGTATTTTTTTTTTACATTTGCTAATTAATTTATTTAAAACATATATAACATATTATCATACATTATTAGCCCACCTGGGATTTTTTTTTGTCCTTTCCAAATATATCCTAACTGATGTTTAACAGAACTGATGGATTTTTTTCACAGTATTTTTACTATCATATTTTTGTATTTTGTATATTGTACTTTTAATACTAGAAGAAGAGTACTGGTATCTTGTAACAACTAGTAAAATATTGTAGCTACCCGCCGGTTATTAAAACAGTCCACGCTTTCAAATACTGACGTCCATATGCATTTCCTTTATGGAACACTGTAAAAAAACTAAAGGATAAACAAATAAACAAACCAAATGTTTCACACAAGCACAATCAACAGGACATCAAAATAAACAAATAATATACAAAACAATGTTTAGTTTACAGTGTTGGCCTGATAACCAGCTGTAGAATAAGCAGGAGCATTTAACAGGTGCTTGCATTGAGATCTCACTATGCTGAGTGATCATACAAACTCTCGCAGGTTATTTCCATCAAAGAGAATCATGTGACCTCCCACTCAAGCCAACCGGAAACAAAGAAATTAGTAACATAAACATATACAAATGCACATTCAAATAATGAAATACAAAACAATAAACAAAAATACAAGCGTCAGCGTCAGCTACAAATATGATGCACTGTCATCATCAGACAAACTAAATTAGTTATTAGAAATTAGTTATTATGTTTAAAAATGTGCCAAAAACTCTTCTCTTTATTAAAAAGCACTTGAGAAATAATGCATTTTATTTAAAGGAGCCTTTCTCAACACTCAAGGTCTCCATACATAATACTTCTCCCTTTTATAATACTTCTCTCTTTCAGTTACTGAAATATTTGAAAAACAATTACATTGTTACACGGGGGCTGATAATTTTGTTTTCAACTCTCTCTCACTATAAAGCGTCTAGTAAAGTCTATAGAGTTTCTGATTTGTTGCATGAATTTGTGTTTGAATCCAGAGTGACATGACAGGGGACGAGACGCGTCCAACACTGTACTCTCTGCTTCTACAGCCTGTCCAACGTATCCCAGAATACCACACACTCCTGCAGGTAGTCAGACTCAGCTTTATTGTCTTAATAATAGCATTTTAAGCATGCTTATTGATTATGCATGTTCAATGAAGAGGCACTTAATAAAATCACCAAGGTCAAGCCCAATCAAGAAAATGCATAATACCCACTTTTTGGTGAGGGTTGCTTGAAAAATCAGTAGATCAGCAATTTCTGAAATAATTAGACCAGACTATGTGGCACCAACAACCTTGCCACACTTCATCAGCATTCAGATGCTCAGTTTGAACTTCTGCAGATGGTCTTTACAATGTCTACAACCCTAATGCATTGAGTTGCTGCCACTTGGAATTAGTGTTCACAAGCATTTGAACATGTGTATCTACTAAAGTGGCTGTGTGTGTGCATTTGCATGTGTTTTACAGAGTCTCCTGCAGCAGACAGAGTCGGAGCATCCTGATTATTACCTGTTACTGGTATCAGTGCAACAGCTTCGATCCTTCATGACGCAGTACAACCATCTGCTACAGCACAACCAGGAGCTCCTCACACACAGCCACGCCCTGCGAGAACACACACACAACCTGTGCACACACCAGCAGGAGAGACCCTCACACACGCGCAAAGAGCTCAGCAGGTAAGGTCAGAATAACAGATATGTGTGGTTTTGTGTTGTTTGACTCACTTGCTGTTGTTTTTCACATCAGGTCTACAGTGAGACAGCTGTATAAAGTCGACTATGAGAAGAATTACAGCAGCAGCAGCACACAAAAGTGAGTAGAGAAAAGTATCACAAGCTTTCTGTGAATTTATGTGTGCTTCTTTAGTTTTAGGTTTGAAAACTATAATAATTTAAAAACTATTTACTGTCAGAAAGTAAGAATGAAACAACACACGCTTTTAAATTGTAATATTGTATGAATTTGCATTTTTTTTCTCCCATTTAAAATACACCATTTTCATTTTCATTGAACTGAGTTTGTGTTTTTGTTGACAGTAAGGTAAATGAACAGTGTACATATTCTGGACATTCGTGTATTTGTTTTGTTGTGCTTTATTTACAGTTAAGCTATAGTGTTTGTTATAATGTTTTATTATTTATAGTCGATTATTATGTTAATTATGCAATATGGGATGTTTTTTTTTTTTTACATAAAATGCTATCCAATTGAAATGTATTTCCACATATTTGGGTTAGGGTTAGAAAATATTGATAAACAGAAGAAATGTTGATAAACAGAAATTATTGAAATTCTTTATTATGTATTACAATCACTTTTGGGCAATGTTAGACAAATCATCACCTTAAAATTATAAGGTTGTATCTGACATTTTTCTCAAAAATGAGTTATTGACAAATTCTTATTAAATGACAACTTATTTATAATATGGGATTTTTTTTAAAATAAGTTGTTTACATTCTAAGACGTTTTATTTAAAAGCAAATGTTACACACATACTGTTTGCTATATGGAATGAAAAAACGTTAAAGCTCAATATCTTAAAATCATTCAGAATGCAGATAGAACCTCATAATTCTAAGGTGACAAAATGTTAAATTAAGACAATGTAAATTAAAGCATATTAAATTAATGTGTATTAAAGAGCGCGACAGATGTTTTAAGGGGCTTTATTTTGGCCACAAGGTAAAAAATGACCGAAATGGAAGAAATATATTATGCACTAATACAGTGTTCTCAAACTTTTTTCACCAAGTACCACCTCAGAAAAAAATTGTCTCTCGAAGTACCACAATAATGACCAGTATTGAATTATAGTAGCATTGCAGGCCTAATTAAGCAGCTAAAGCTCTACACAGTTCAAAAACGAGGCTGATTAATTCGTATTATTATGAATATTTATTATTGTCAGACACATTAAACATTATAAATAATTTAAACATTTACACAGCACTGTGCTTACAGGTAAAAAAAAAGGTTTAAATGAAAATGTGGAGTTTGCATGTCTCCTCCATATTTGTGTGGGTTTACTCTGGGTGCTCCAGTTTCCCCTACAGTAAAAAGACATGCGGTAAAGGTAAATTGAATAAGCTAAATTGTCCGTAGTGTATGTGTGTGAATGCAAAAGTGTATGGGTGTTTCCCAGTGTTGGGCTGCAGCTGGAAGGGCATCCGCTGCATAAAACATATGTTGGATAAGTTGCTGGTGCACCACAGTTTGAGAACCACTGCACTAATATTTGCATAAAATTAAAGTATACTTTGAGTTAAACAATTCTATTAATCTTTTGTGTTTTAAGTGATGCATCTCGACGTAACAAGCGCTACCCTGACTATGAAGCGGCCCCCTATCACTACGACCCAGAAGTCCCATCTCCTGTGTCATTCCTATCTGACTCTGACTCTCGCCACAAAGCTATTTCAGTTCCCTTGCGCAGCATCCCAGAAACAGAGGGAGCAGGATCTGTGCTCGCTGATGCTCTGGGGCCGCTCTATCCCTATGGGGCCGGAGACTCTCGCTGCTCAAGCCCCTCTCATTCATCCGACTCCAGCATTGATATTGCTTTTGTGCGCTGCAGTCCTTCCCACAGTCCACCTCGACAGTCCCACAACAGAGGCCGCAGTGCTGGCGGTGTTGTTTACAGGCCGAACAGAACCTGTGTGTCCCCCGACTCGGCTGATATTGTAAGACCACGCCCCCTACAGGCGGTGCAGAGGAAGAGCAAGTCACTGAACGGCCTGCAGATGGACAGCATTGATAGCCTTAACAGCCAGACGAAAAACCCAGCCCATCCAAGGCTGGAGCGCCAGTCAAGTGGCAAAGCAAGACTGAGAGCCAGCAGTCCAAAACACAGATACGAGACACATACTGACACAGAGGAGCAACCACGACTAACACACCAAAAGGTAAACACTCACACATATATAATTGAGAATTGTTGGTAATTAGCGACGACTAATTAGAAATTACCTTCAAATCTAATCAAAGACATTCAATCGCAATGTGTAAAGACCTTAGCAAGAAACCACATGGCGAGTCACGTCATCTTCATTTCTGTAGCACTTTTTGCAATGTAAATACTATATAGTACAATATTTCAGATTGTGGAACATTCTAGCATTTCAGGCAAGCAGGAGAGTAGTGGTATAATGCTAGTGTAGGAATGGCAATCATACACAACACCCTAGCAACCATACATGAATGGCACAACCATTCAAAACAATCGCAACTGAATAGCAATGAACTAAACCCAACTTCCTGGCAACCACCAACAACACCCTAATTTGCACCGAACAACACCGAAATTGCAGACTTGCATACTGTTTATAGCAAACTATATAGTGTGGGAGTCGAGTAGTAAGTCAGAATTCTAATGGTGTGTCACAAATCTCATATTTATGCACTAATCTAAGCCTTTTTGTAGTATAAATAGTGTATGAAGTGTGTTCACACTGAAAACTCAAAAAAAATCAAGTGCACTTTAATTACCTGGATGATGCACTTATTTAGCTGGTAAAACGAAGTGTGTAATGATGGACACTTCACACACGCAACGACCACAGCTTTGCACATAGCAGAAGGGGCGGAGATATCAGCCGCTCATGTTAGATTACTTTATTTTGGATTGTGAAAGCAAAATTCTCCTACAAGAGGGATTATAGCGCCTCCTGATGGTGAATGTAGTTATACTCATGGCAAGTATTATTTGGTAGTTTGGTCATTTATTTCATTAATTTGCCAAACGTCATCAGTTAAACGATTTGAATTTACACTTAATAAAAAACATTAGTGTTCCATTTGGGACGACACTACATACATATACTACGCTGTTGAGTGTGTAAGTGTATACAGTGCATGCGGAAAGTATTCATTGTGCTTCACTTTTGCACATTTTTCATGTTACAGCCTTTTTCCAAAATAGATTATATTAATTTATTTCTTCAAAATTCTACACACAACGCATAATGACAATGTGAAAAAAGATTTTTTGAAATTGTTACAAATTTATTAAAACTAAACTTAAAAAGTCACATGTACATAAGTATTCACAGCCTTTGCCGTGAAGCTCTAAACTGAGCTCAGGTATGTTCTGTTTCCACTGATCATTCTTGAGATGTTTCAGTAGCTTAATTAGAGTTCACCTGTGGTAAATTCAGTTGATTGGACATGATTTTAAAAGGCATACACCAGTCTATATAAGGTCCCAGGACTGACAGTGCATGTAAAAGCACAAACCAAGCATGGGGACAAAGGAATTGTCTGTAGACTTCCGAGACAGGATTATCTCGAGGCACAAGGCTGGGGTTGCATACAGAATCCTTTCTGCTCTGAAAGTTCCAATGAGCACAGTGGCCTTCATCATCCATAAGTGGAAGATGTTTGAAACCACCAGGACTCTTCCTAGAGCTGGCCGGCCATCTAAGCTGGGTGATCGAGAGAGAAGAGCCTTAGCCAAGGAGGTGATTAATAGTGTTATTCTGTGGGGAGAGGAGAACTTTGCAGAAAGACAACCATCTGTGCAGCAATCCACTAATCAGGCCTGTATGGTAGAGTGGCCAGACGGAAGCCATTTACTGCCTGGAATTTGCCAAAAGGCATCTGAAGGACTCTCAGACCATAAGAAACTAAATTCTCTGGTCTGATAAGACTAAAACTGAACACTTTGGAGTGAATGCCAAGCGTTACAATTGGAGAAAACCAGGCACCGCTCATCACCAGGCTAATACCATTCCTATAGTGAAGCATGGTGGTGGCAGCATCATGCTGTGGGGATGTTTTCCAGCAGCAGGAACAGGAAGACTAGCCAGGACAGAGGGAAAGATGAATGCAGCGATGTACAGAGACATCCTGAATGTCCTTGAGTGGCCCAGCCAGAGCCCAGACCAAAATCCTACTGAACATCTCCGGAGACATCTGAAAATGGCTATACACTGTCGCTTCCCATCCAACCTGATAGAGCTTGAGAGGTACTGCAAAGAGGAATAAGCAAAAATTCCCAAGCTTTGTGCCAAGCTTGTGGGATCATATTAAGAAATACTTGAGGCTTTAAATGCTGCCAAAGGTGCATCAACAAAGTATTGAGCAAAGGCTGTGAATACTTATGATGTACATGTGAGGTTTTTTTTTTTATATATATAAATTTGCAACAATTTCAAAAAAATCTTTTTTCACATTGTCATTATGGGTATTGAGTGTAGAATTTTGAGGAAATAAATGAATTTAATTCAATTTTGGAATAAGGCTATTACATAAAAAATGTGGAAATAAGTGAAGCGCTATGAATGAATACTTTCCGGATGCACTGTAAGTACATAATGCATAAGTGCTTAGTGTATTGTGCCATTTGGGACGCAGCTATTGTATACTTTGTAGTAACTGCATAGAAACATTCTGGTAACCACTCACAACACTCTAGCAATTGGATAGTAATGTGTTAAAAATTAAACAGCACAGTTTAGCAAAATAGCCTAGTAACAACATAACAGTGGATTAAAAGCCTTCAGAACTGCTAAATAACATCCTAGCAACCATCAACATTATTAAAAAGTGAAATGAAATCATTTATTTGCAGGTGTAAAATGTAAGTGAGTGAAAGCTCATTCTGCTTGTTCCTCAGGACTCTAGAAGCCTGGTGTGGGAGGAGCTCAAGTTGAGGGGCGTGTCTGACGACTATGAGCACACCCCATTGAGTGAACGTAGTAGGAAAGAAGGAAAAGGATTTAGGAACTCCTTCAAAAAACTCTTTAAAAAGAAGTGAGTTACTGAAAAGAGACGCACAGCGGCTTTGCACATTGTCCTCATGTTTAAAGTCATGGTACTTTGTGTGTGTCAGGTCTAATGATGGAAAGGAGAAGACAACAGTGAAAGCTGAGTGTCAAAGCAGCGGAGAGCTGGAGACCATCAAAACCCTTCAAACGGTAGACATTGACAGAGGAACTGCTGTTTAAGCTCCAACATTAGTGCTTCTCCATTGGTTTTGCTTCCAGGCAAATCTTTCACACAACCCCAAAGAGTGATCTGATGTGCTTTTTGGTCTTTAGTGTTTGTTCATTCATTTTCCTTCGGCTTAGTCCCTTTATTCATCAGGGGTCGCCACAGCGGAATGAACCGCCAACTTATCCAGCATGTTTTACACAGCGGATGCCTATCCCGCTGCAACACAGTACTAGGAAACACCCATACATTCTCACGTTCACACACATACACTACAGCCAATTTAGTTTATTCAATTCACCTATAGCGCATGTCCTTGGACTGTGGGGGAAACCACGCGACCACAGGGAGAACATGCAAACTCTGCACAGAAATGCCAACTGCCAAATGCCAACTAGCCACCGTGTAGCCCTGTCTTTAGTGTTTGGTTTTTAAATTTCTCTTGACTGCTAATGGTTTGATGCCTTTGGGAATCACTAATGCACAGTATAAAACACCTTGTGGTTGACAAAGTTCTTAATAATAGTCTAGCTGTAAGTGAACCTGGGTTTCTTTCGTGATTTTAGAGGTTGAGGAAGATATGACACAAAAGCCCATCAAAATAAAGGTTGAAGTGGTATCAAAATGCGGACTTTGTTGGAAGCAAAACTTTTACCATTAGTAACAAATGGGAAGTATTTTCTCTATGGTTTTAAGATTGTTTATTTCCAGCTGTTTACAATTCAAATTGAGCTACTGTATGTAGCTATAGCTCATTTGAGAATCGCTGTTCAAAAGTTGAGCGCAAACTGCTTGATAAAATCCTTGAACACAAATTACTTTGCATGCTGAAGTCAAACTTAATAAGAAACATTATTTATATGCATTATTTATGTAAATATATAATTACTCAAAAAGGCATATTCATCTATATCTTCAGGTATCTTAGTTAAGGCTGCTCTGTGTCTGCCCAAATTCAGTGTTCAGATGTAATGCTGCATAAAAAGCCCAATTACATCATTGCCTGCCCAGACCCACCCTACAGTTGGAATTGCTTGTAAATACATTCATGCCAACTTCAAGCAGAATTAACATCCAGTGTAAAGACACTAATACCACTTCAGATGCATAAGATGCAACCTCTGTAGTGTGCATGTGACAATTGTTCAGTTTAAGCTGGGTCACAGAAACAGGGTACACTATAAAAGACTATATCTGAAAAAAAATGTGTTGAATACTTATACTTTCAATATAAAAATAAAACACAATGAAAAGAAAATCTACTTTGTAAATGTATATGTAACAATAAAATAACAATATTTCATGCAATATTTGTTTTTAGAACATACATTTGTGCATATACTCGTTTACAATTGTGAAAAAATGTGTGTGTATACAGTGCTCAGCATAATTGAGTACAGCCCATTTTGAAAATTAATATTTGTATTCATTTCTCAGTGAACATAGACATTTTGTATTTTAGTGCATTTAAACAAAACAGATTTATTAAACAGATATATTTATTAAAATAATATTTAGTCGCCAAACATATATAGAAATTGGAAGATAATACAATTAAAATTAAGTAAAATTTTGCTAAATTTTCCTCAATTTAAAGTTAGTTTTTGGACTGTTATGTTATTTTCTAAATAAGCTCCAGATTGGTTTCAGTACTGAGTAATCTAATGTATATGCACAAATATAATATTTTATAGCTTCCAAATTTTTTAAAGATAGATTTGTGAGGGGTGTACTTATATATGCTGAGCACTATATTTATATATAAATGTGTGTGTGTGTGTGTGTGTGTGTGTTAGACAAAATAACACCATTCAGATGCATTCGATTGTTTTTCCCCACCTTGGTTTAATGTGTTAAATCTCATAAAAGAGTTTCACATTTGAAACAAAATATTGGCTTTATACAGTCTGTAAAACTCAAATTATTTTACACTATATACAAGACATGTGCATCACATTACACAAGAGAATGCAGCTGTAGTGGACGTGGAGTAGTTGCACTCAAAGCATCCCATATCACATTTATGACTCAAACGGAGCAATATTACTGGAAATTAGGCTCAGACGCTTTCATTCGGCCCTTGACAAAAATCTAGATCACGGCTTTAAAAGCGCTGTTATAGGGAGATCCTCTGCTTAAAGTACTGTTTTTTCTTACTTTCTAATAGCTCATGATCTTATGCAAAGTTTAAAATGCATGTTAGAGGTAGACACGACATGCTAAATTTGCGCATTCAGCTAACAAAACATGATTTGGCTATTTTGAAACAAAAAGGAACCGTTAGTATTCAGATATGACATTGTACAAACTGATGAAAAGGCTAGAAAGCGTCACAGACAGCTACATTCTAGAAAAGCTCTTTTCCCCCTTTCATATTTACACATACTGCATTCTTGTTATCTCTATTAGCTTTCTGTGAGCCTAATAAATAGCATTTCTCTGTCTGTTATGCTCTTGACATCACACACACATACGACAAGCTGAGAAAAGCACACGCATTTGTGCAAACATTCACTAACAGTGTTTGGTAATGAACTAAAACATGACACTTTTTTTGCATACAAAATTAAATATAAAAAACACTCCATTTCCATTAATTGGCTCATGATGACGAACTAAACATGACGCTGTTACAGTATCGTGTTACACAAACAGTCTTATTTGTGGTATTATCTTGGATTTACTACCATTATATTCTTTAAAGCACCTTAAAGTACCATTTATATACCACAGTATTTGACTAGAGTAACCATTCAGAACCATGATATATATATGGTATTACCATCTGACCACTGTTATTTAGCTTTGGGGGACATGAATGATTATACTCTACAGTATAAAAGGATTCATTTCATAATACAGTGCTAAATTCACTGGCTGTGCTAACAAAACATATCTTTTAGGACTAAGATGGCGCCCCCTAGTGTTCCTTTTTCAAGTTAAAAGCCTAAAAAAGTGTCGACTTTCTTGTTCATTCAAGTGCCCTGTGTGTTTGGATTATTAACATTTATAAAGCAATACGAACACTTAAGCTCCACTGTCTGTTGTTGTGCTGTTAATATGGAAATGTGCAGCTAATGGGACATAAAAACTGGTTTACTGAATGTCACCAAATGAGAGAAATGAAGATGAACATGAATTAGTACAACAAACGAGCTGGTTAGATTTACGGACAATTCACACAAAGCACATTTTTGTATTTAATAGCTAGCCTTTAGATTTATGAACAATTATAAGCAATTTAGGGTGTGTTCACACTGATAATTTGGATCTCTTAAGTTTTTTCGGTCTAGACAACAGTATATTTATTTCTGATGCCAGCTGCATAAACTTGTATGCCACCAAGTATAAAGTCATAAAAGTCATTATTTTTACACCCTCAAGCCATCTAAGATGTAGAAGATTTTTAGCTGAAACCATGGTCTTTGCTGATTAATATAATGCCAGTCAGTGGCTACTGGAATTTGACTGGACATATTAAAACAACACATTAAGGTCTTATGTAGCAAAACATTTGGAGACAAATGTAATTTACTTTTCATTAATTAGCAAATTAAGGGACTCCAATTTAAAATTTGTAATTTCCAACACTTGTCTCTCAAGCAATACTTTAACATGTGCATGAATATTGGCCCATGCACATTTCCTGCTTGTTATCAAAAGATTAAAGACAATTTGATTCTTGCATTTTTAGATTTGAATGCAGCGATTCGAAGGATTACTAAACATATACAAATCACCATCATTTATAATTGTTGCGTGGATGTTGAGATCCGGACCTTTTAATGATTAATCGTGCAGCTTACACTGAATGCATTGATGCAGGTTAAACAAGTAGTGACAGAAAACATTTCTATTATTATATAAAATCAGTGCTTAATTTGTGAATCGCGAGGTCCCGGAACAGATCGGGGTAACAGATCCGGCATGTTATCTGAGGATGGAGAGGTGTCGTGCACGAAAGTAGAGAGCGCGGTGGGCAGGAAGGTGTACAGGTGGTATTGGGGGACGTTGGATGGCAGAGAGCTGTCGCGGACGAAGGACGAAAGTGAATGGCGGGGGTTGTCGCCAATAGGCTTGGGGAGTCGCAGAAGAAAGTGAAAGTGAACAGCGGACAAGGGAGGAGGGTGGTTGAGGAGGGGGATTGGTAAAATGAGGTGCCAGATCAGATGTCAGAGATGCCGGATCTAGACCTAGCGTGTTCTGGCACAAATTAAGCCCGCTATTTAATTTATATTTTACAGTAAAGGATTAATCTACCAGTAAAAAATATATATTAATCTGCTGACCACAAGTGTTCCGAACCTTGGGTTGTGATCCGCACGAATCACGGATCAACCGTGATCCGTTACACCCCTAGCAAGCAGTCTATATAAAAGAGTAAGTTTACATTCTTGTGCACAATCTCAAGACTTCTTTCTCAGCAGGCACGTGCACACATAGGGCTAAACCTGTGCAGTGCACATGCCCTTTTTAGTCTTGGATAGAAAGTGCCCTTTCAAAATGATCTCAAGTGTACCTGCTCTCCCATAAAAATGTAAAACAGGAAATGCATTGGCACCATTGTTATTATTTACACCCTTCAAAAAAGTCTATATATATATATATATAAATGATTGTATATTTATCAGAACTCTTATGAAGTGTGTAAAGGAGTCAAAATAGCGCTGGTAATACCTTTTCTGCACAAACAAGTGAAAGTCCAACACAGTTTTGAACTGTAGACGGCAACATCAAAACTACAACAAAAAAATGTCTGCTTGAGTTCTAATAGCTGCGTCTTGTGATATAATTCCTGTTTATGGTTTGTTTAGATATCTTTGGTCTGTGCTGTGTTCATAGTTCAGTCTAACTGGCCCACAATTTGATTGGAAGAAGACCAATATCTGCCTTTTCAACGTTCTTGGTCCATTTGTTTGGTGTGAAGCAAAGTTCAGATTAGAGTGTTTCAATAATTCAAAGAAACTGCACTAACAGAGCAGGAGTTTCTTTTAATCTAACCAAACCTTCAAAGTGTGAACACCCTTAAAAGCAAGAATGTGTTCTGTGTGAACTGTATTAGCATGACACCCATAAATAAAGCTGTTTACTGCAGTACTGAAAGCCACAAAGCTACCAAGATGGTACATCACCTGTAAACCATGCCAGATATAAACGCTTGGTTATTTGATTTCTTTTTAGACAACGGATGTACAAGACTGCTGTGTTTTTACATTAGTTATCTCACATTAATCATGAGATCTGATAGTTGGTGTATTAAGGTGTCTGTTTAGCTTAGTTTGCAATATGTTTGTGTATTGAAATGCATTTGTAGTTTAAAAACAAAGAAATGTATCACTGTGTAACTGGCATTTGAAAAAAATGATTAGGTTTGCTAATCACCGCTACATGCTATGCGAATCTATCACGCATATTAAACGGTCTACCTACGTTTGCTTGAACTGAAATATCGATTTAGCATCGATACAAGGTACCAGGGGCTGGTATCATACCAAACCACAGATATTGTTATTAAAATTCATCCGTAGTGTTTAATTTCAGCTGTCTTTTTTCTGTAGTGTTGTGTTCAGTAGCTTTATAAATGAAAATGAGGTGTGTGAGTCTCAGGAACGTGACCTTTGTAGCGTGCATTACTTATTGTGTGTTTAAGGCAGTGTGTTGTCAGTAGCTATTCTCATGACCTGCGAGGATGTACAGATTACTCTGAGCCGTGGGGTCTTCAGTCGGCTTGCTTTCCAACACCACCACTCTGAGAAAGATGAGAATGTTTGTTAAGAGCCGTGCTGAATGTGGCTTTGCTGCTGCATAGTGTGTTTATGAGCTCTTACCTGTCAGCTCCTAGCAGCCTGTAGGTTCTCGAGTTATCTGAGATCTCCTGAGTAATCTGAAGCAGAAAACAAGAGCAGTGTAAGAGCTGTTTTGTATTTTTTGTATTGTAATTCTGTGTTTGACAACTGGGCGGAGAGCTTATGAATAACAATATAGGTAAGGTAGGCCGACGAGAAGAGCGTGACAGGTGTGTGTAATCATGGGGAGGACAATTTTTTTTACCGTGACCATGACGTAAAGCAGCACTGAAAAGATCCTATGTGATTCATGAGTGCATGATATATTAAAGTAGAACGGTGTGGAGGAAAATGCAACTGTATAATGAACTAGATAATAAAGTTTAAGGGCAAACATTATGGTGGCTTGAGAAAGCCTGTTGAAAGTAATTTGTTTAGTATAAAACAGTTTGAAAAAGTATGGATAGATAGAAAAAGTTTAAAAAGTGTGGAAAAAGATACACTGCTTTCATGTGGCTGCCATTTTAAATGCGAAAGTGAGGCTGCGCTGGGAAGAAACCCGGAAGTATCGCCTGGAGTCATTCAGGAACGGCGTCTGGATGTATCATTTACATCAAATTTATCATTTCACTGCTTTCCGAGTGACCCGAAGGTCCATTCTGAATGGATAGTGAAAATATAAAGTGATATCGGACCTCATTTTCAGCTAAGTTAAGGTAAATGGCACTAGTTAGCTAATGTTTTCTTTTCCAACCCAACGTTTTAGATGCCCTTTATCAAACTCAAGTTAAATGAACTGATTCTTTCACTATATTAGACTTGTCACAATACTGAATTGACCCTTCGCTAAGCCACACCCAAAAACCGCCACTCACCAATCATGGCTTAGCAATCGTAGCTACGCGCAGGAGGTCTGTCAAGCCTTTGAGCAAGGGAAACAAGCCAAAGCGTTATGCATATGGATTGTGCAAATCTGACACACGGTATCCTAAAAGTTTGGACGGGGTGGTGGAATTTTTTCCCTTTTCAAAACCAAAAACACAAGAGGAGAAATGCCAGTGTGGATTAAGCTCTGTGAGGTCGCTAAATTAGTTAAGTTTGGTTTTGTTTCCATATTCCTGACACAATTATAGATGGCAATAACTCACACAACTCTTACCGTGAAAAGATCTAAACTGTGTTTCCTACAAAAATACAAAGCAGGTTATGTTTCACAGCTGTCTTTTTTTTTTTTGTCTGCTCGATATTATGAGCACTGCTTTGTTTAAGCCCTCGCCATCGTAGTCATACTAATAGCTATCATATTTCCATCTGTTTCAAGCTACAAATATTTGAAATTATATTTGAGATGTGATCACAAACTGGACACTTGCGATCAATATACTTCATCCGTAGCTGTTTTTCAGTAATTTATAAGCCTCATGTTCATGTCAAAGCTACAATTCACTGATTTTTAATCTGTCTTTTGGAGATTTAGTCATTGGTGATGATGTTATAGCGGTTAGTGTCTGCTTTTATATTTGGTGTCGGATTAATATTTGCTGGTAGGAAAAATCTATTTGTTCACTTCTGCTATTTGTACTTTGATTTGCATTTCAATTTATTCATTTATTTATTTATTCCACTTAACTGCAAATTAGAATATGAACTGTATAAAGAGCACACAAACATAATGACAGCAATAGGTACTGTACATTGTTTACACAAATCCATACATTTCTTCTTTCTGGCTGTTCTTTCTATGAATGAATTATGTAAAAGCAGTGTCCATGCATGTTTCCTCATCGATTAGTAACGCTATATTTCATTGCACAACAATTAATCTATCAGGCTTTTTGGCTAAAAATAGAGAAATCACGGTTTAATTAGTTATTATTTGATTATTTGTAAACTTCACCTCTTCTGCTGTGCATGAACTAAGCTGTTAAATGACCTAACCTAGCTTCAATTTTGATTGAATAATTCTCTAATGGGTTGCTTATTATGTGGTGAATATACTCCTGTAATGCATACTGCAGTCCTTTTTTGTCTGACCTTCTCAGATATCACACCTGTTTGCCAAAAATGACTAATTATATCCCTGGCAATGTCTGACACCCGCGCATACACATTGTTATAAACGTGCCGGGCACGAAAGCTTGACAGGCGTAGCAACAGTAACTAAGGAGGGTGAGGCTTAGCGAAGGGTCTCGGTACTGAAATTTAAAAAAACGTCAATTTCTCGCTAACATTGAGGCGCTGTTAAGCTCGTTCTTAAACATTGCCAATTTGCCATAGTATTGACCAGTTCTCAACAGAAATGACTGGGATTGACCGTGAAGGTCATCAGTTAACCGATGCTTATTGAGTGCAAACACAGACGAGTGATCTGCTGATGAATTGACTGATCTTCGCAGCTTTAAAACGCTCCAGTGTCTGTGTATCTGTGTTTGCATTTGGTGAAGAGCGGTAAACCTATGACTTTCACGGCCAATCACAGTCATTTCTGTTGAGCACTGGTGAATACAATGGCAAATCAGAAGAACATGCTCTTCACCAGATGGGTCTGCTACAGAGGACTGCATTGTTTTATACAGGGAAGCCTCCCCACGGTGTTTACCTGGTGCTATGAACTTAAGCATATTATTGTCAGTTTGTTTGATACCTAATATGCTTTAAATAGTTTAAATGAAACTTAACTGAATGATATTAAAGTGATATTTACATCATATCTGCACTTTGAAATGACAGCAACAGCTGGAGGTTTGTAGTCCACAGCATGTTGTTGCAATGTTTATAGTGCTGATCTTATACCTTCGGGTTTCTTCCCACCGCAGTCTCTCTTTCGTTTTTTGAAATGGCGGCCATGTGAAATAAGTGTATCACCATGTTTCCAGTATGAATTAGCATGTAGCTTTGATAGGATTTTTGCTTTCCTTTAATTAAAATGTACTGTGTTGTACAAAACAATAGCAAAAACATTTAGTTTGGAAGAAAATAGACTTAAAGTAGAAATCTACTTAAGAAACTAAGAACTACAGAACTACATGACATACCTCACTGTTTTTAAAGCTTCTTCCCTGCATTCCATGCTTCCAGAACGCCAAAACACTGTCCTGCAGACACACTTGAAAAGGACATATATAATTATCATTTAAAGCAAACGATTAATTCCACAGTCAATATTTTACATTAGTTTAATCCTTACCTATTGCCTCAATCTGGAAGTTAAAAGTGAGTTCCGTTGACAACTTCTTGTTGGATTTTAATCTGCCTTGTAAATTTACCAACTTTATACATCCTGCAAAATACCGAAACACACTGTGAGTGGAAGCTGCTGGATAAAGGATATCAGGGACATTGAGTGAACTCAAAAACAACGAAAGCTTTAAAGGTCCAATGAAATGAAAATAATGTTTTTTGGATGTTATTATTAGTATTATTAGTTTTAAGGATATTTATACGCTAGTGTGCTCCAAAACAGTGACACAATTGGCATTTAGAAGATATAAAAGTGATATAACATCTAAGGCTTTTAGTTTGTCACTTCTGCCTAAATGTATTAATGGCTTTTTCACATCACCTCATATGTTTCTCAACAAATCATGACCAATCAAATGCTCTCTAGTATCTGACATGCTCCTCCCCCTTCAGACGCTGCACATTTAATGCGCTTGAGCTCAACGACTCTCACTGGCCGAGAGGTGATAAAACAAAATGTTATTGGCTGTTTTATAAAAAGGGGAGGAGCTACACTATGTCCCACCCTCTCTTCATGTTTCGGTAGAGATTACGTCAAACAAGCACATTCATAGTTAAAATGCACATTTTAAAGCATTTCACGGGACCTTTAATTGTTTTAATAAAAGTAATATAACAACAAAGATAAAAACTGGACATGGCAGCAAAAATGATGCACACAGAAACATGGAAAACAAATACAAAACAAGGTGATACAAGCTAAAAGTCCAAGAAATAAGATTAACCTCATCAGTTTTTACACTTAAATTATTCTGGCCAGACTAAAAAAAAAATAAGACAGCAGAAAAATAGAAAAGGAAAAACTCTAAAAATAATTAAAATTTCAAAGGATGGCTAACAAAAGTTGTCCTCAACTGTAAGTAAATATGTATTATTTATGTGTAACATGTCTATTAATATATTGAATGACATTTTCTTTCATTAAGGTTACATTTTATATTATCATGACAATAAATATGCATGTTTACTTACGATCAAGGCAGACGAGCACAGTGTCTCTCTCCAGCTGAGTCACATGAATGACACACGTCTGAGGAGTTTCTGAAATCACATGACACAAAACGCGCTCAAACAAAACCCAAGAGCAGAGCTATATTTTTTAGCGATCAAAACAAATGAGTCTCTGTGACACTGACCGGGTTCCGTGAACGTCGGGTTGCCAGCATTGGGATCGACAGTGCCAAAAGTGACCACCTGATCAGGGTGACTTCCTTTACTGACCGCCACACAAACCACAGGATAATGCTGTTCAGGAACCACCAACATCTCAAACACTTCTAATGGACACGGCAGGGTGAGCTCTATACTCTGGACAGACACAAATACACAGCGTTATAGACTTTGATGCATAGTTACAGCTATGTTTCTCTATCCAGTATGTTAGTTTGTTTTGTTCTACTGTCTGTATATTTAAACATCTAACTTAATAAACAACACTGCCTGCTTTAAGGCGTTGAGATTCTTTCTCTTTATCAATGATAACAACTTTAATGGATTACAATAGATTCAAATAAGTAATTGATTTAAACACGCCATCCTTCAACTGCTTTCTGTTTTCAATTATTGGTTCAGAATAGCAGCGTAAGCTTCAAGCCTTACAGACGTTTAATGTCATTTCTTAGTTTCTTTCACTTACCTTTATGAGCATGAAGCGCTGCATGGCTTCCACCCATTCAAACAGCATTACACTGGACTGGAAAGCTCCACAGAGGTACTTGTGACCTGTGTACGGGTTTCGCACTACATACATACACAAACAATTCATGTTAAACTGTATTCATGCTAAGAATTGCACTACTTTTGTGCAATTTGTGATTATAATGTTTATATCATGTGGCTATATAGTATATGTGAAGATTGAATTCTTTTGCTGATATTACCCAAGTAAAGTTTAACAGCAAAGAAAAATTTCACAATTTTTGCAACTTTTTTTAACCTTCTGGAGAAAATTTTGTTTAAATTTAGTTTAAAAACTGCTAAGGTCAATACGTGTATCCCCATTAAAAAAATTTGGCTACAGAACAAATTACTGTTGCCCAATGAATTGCCTAGTTAACCAAATTGACCTAGTCAAGCCTTTTAAATTGCACTTTAAGCTGAAAAAAGTCTTGTAAAATAACTAGTGAAATATTATATACTGTCATAATGGCAAAGACAACAGAAATTAGTTATTTAAAAATAAGTTAATAAGGGTGCTTTCACACTAGCACTTTTGGTCCACACTCTGGTTTGTTTGATGTCAGAGTACGGTACGTTTAACTAGTGTGAACACTGTCTTCTGAACTCGGGTGCACACCCATTAAAGCCACCTGAAAGAGGTGGTCTGGGGTACGATTCAGGCAAAATCTGGTACGGTTCACTTCTGAAATGGATGCAATCGCACCTAATAACGGTACAACTAACTCTAATTTTTTATGACACTCATTCATGTGTGTATGTGTGTGTTTCACCTACCTTGGCGATAAGCGGAACTAACCCAGTGCAAACAGTGACAATGTCTGCTTGTCTTCTACAGACATCGCATGATGTTCTAAATGTTTTTAATGGTTGTTTCTCTGTGGCAGACAAATGCAAGTGGCTCTCTGTATTATATTCAGTAAAGGCAGAATGACCGTGATATGTGTATGTCTTCATTTTATGCTTTGCTTTTGTGGCTGTCACCTAGCAACAGCTGTACACAAAACAGTAGCTTGATGATGCCAGCATACCAGAGTTCAGTACACAAACCAGCCAAGGAGGGACTATCGAACTTGAGTTAAAAAGTGTGAAAGCACCCTAAAACTATTATTTTAAAATGTGTTGAAAAAAAATCAAAGCAGTTAGATTCAAATAATGAAAAAAAAACACTCAATTTCACAGGAGTGGCTAATAATTTAGTTTGAATGTATTTATACTGACCTACGCAGCATTTCTGACAGCCCCTTGTTTCTGGTATTTTATTAGACACGGTAAACTTCCTGAAACAAATGCATTAATGGAACACATTGTAAATCAGTCACAATTATTTAAGTAAATCTTTAGATAAATCAAATTTTAAAAAATAGTATGAATGATAACTGATTAAATTTATAAAACGATCCTAAAACGTTTCATCTAAATCATAGCTGTCAAACTCCATTCCTTGAGGGCCGCAGCTCTGCACAGTTTTGCTCCAACCCTAATCAAACACAGCTGATGCAACTAGTCAAGGTGTTCAAGACTCTTTTGAACACCTTAATTAGTTGGATCAGGTGTGTTTGATTAGGGCTGAAGCAAAACTGTGCAGAGCTGCGGCCCTCCAGGAATTGACTTTAACATCTATGATCTAAATCTTACCGCGGGATGATTTTGTCTGGGAGTTTGTGTGTTGGAATGGCAACGGGTAACTTCTGCATCTGTCGCGCTTGTTCAAAGAGCCCCGTCAGGTTGTAGGAGTACAGCTGAGATGCTTTACCTGTGAAACACACACATAGAAGTGTATAGAGTTTCATGATGGAGAAGTTGAAACATTCAAATATTCTGGAATGCTCGGTAAATGTTTTCTTTGGTTTTATCTGACCTGATATAGAAAGCAGCCAGTTGTTCATTACATAAACCCATGTGCACCGCCGTGGAACCAGCTGCATGAGATTTAAAGAATGAAAAAAAAATCAATTGTCATACATTTAAAATATTTATGGAAATCTTTGTTTCTCATAGTCTGTTCTCTCTTGAATTTTTAAAGTGAAGGCAAAATATTTATTATATATAAAAAATTTGACTAACTGATCTTCATATTTTGAATCGCCAAGACTTTATACACTATTTCTTATTTTGATATCATTCATTCATCTATTTTCCATCAGCTTAGTCCCTTTATTTAGGGGTCACCATAGCAATGAACTGCCAACTTATCCAGCATATGTTTTACATCCATACACACTTGTTCACACACTCTCATACACTGTGGTCAATTTAGTTCATTCAATTGACCTATAGCGTATGTCAGTGGTCACCAAACTTGTTCCTGGAGGTCCGGTGTCCTGCAGGTTTTACCTCCAACCCTAATCAAACACACCTGAACAAGCTAATCAAGGTCTTACTAGGTAAACTTAAAACATCCAGACAGGTGTGTTGAGGCCAGTTGAAGTTAAACCCTGCAGGGACACCGACCCTCCAGGACCGAGATTGGTGACCCCTGGCGTATGTCTTTGGACTGTGGGGGAAACCGGAGCACCCAGAGGAACCCCACGCTAAAACAGCGAGAACATGCAAACTCCACACAGATATGCTGACCCACTCGGGACTTGAAAAAGCGACCTTCTTGCTGTGAGTGCTAACCACTGTGCCACCATGTCACCCCTTATTTTGATATAATAAAATAAATTCTCATCATAATGATGAGATGCTGACCTGCTCCATGGTGCTCTCATGGATTTCGTTCAGATTGAGAGTGTAAATTCCTTCCTCTGCTCCAAAAATCAGATACTGATCTGAAAAAAAGTGTCAAGACAAGCTTATAAAACTGATAATTAAGTCATTTAGAAGCACATGATCTATCTGAATTCGTTTCTCACCCCTGGTGTTTGGGTTGATCCAGGAACAGGCACAATGAATCTTTAGTGGACAGCCATTAAACACTTTAGAGAAACAAGCTCCCATCTGCACAGCACAAAAAAAACAAAGCTGAGTTTAATTGGTCCAAATGAAGCTGCTATTTTTGTTAATCCAGGTGTGTTCATTCAAAAATGAAATTGTTATCACTATTTACTCATCCTTGAGTGGCTCCAAACCTTTAGGATTTTTTTTCACTTCAGCATAATAAAGATATATTGAAAAATGCTAGAAACTGGTAACTGTTGACGTCCACAGAAGGAAAATCAAACACAATGGAAGTCAATGGTTACCGGTTTCCAATGTTTTTCAAAATATCTTCATGTGTGTTCAACAGAAAAAAGAAAGTTAAACCGGTTAATGACAGGTGAAGGCTGAGTAAATGATGACAGAATTTTCAGTTTTGGGTGAACTGTCCCTTTAATACATGCTTCAGTGCTTTAAAACAGTAAAAGATAGAGAGGTAAAGAGACAGACAGAACAAGCTGGATGACTCACGTGTACTTTAGGAGTTGGTGGAAGGCCATTACTGAATGGTAACTACAAAAAAAAAAACAGATTTTTTTCCTGTGAGTGGCTTGTGTAAGAGTTGCAACATATTTGAATAAACTACTTTTTCCCTTCTTTTATCATCTATCTAAACGACATAAATCCAAAAGCCCTTCAGTCTGAAGCACAGACAATGTTTCATTATTTGAATTTGGAATTTATAACATCCCTAACAACAATTCTTTCAGAAGGAAAAGATGCAATAACACAGCGAAAACATATCTAATACAGAAAATGACACAAGAAAACTACATCAATCCATCAAAGAATGCAATTTGTGCATGCACAGCCATATCATGCTTTTCATATAGCAAAAATATGCAACCTTTTGAGGATTAAACATACCTGTAGACTACATGAGGGGAGAGAGGCCAGTTTTTCTTTATCTCCATTCTCCGGGGATGAAACGCCGTTACCTGCACATAAAAACACACTTTAATATTGATTACCCATGCTTTGAACCCTGAACTCACATCCAAGAAACACTAATGTGATGCTAATACAAACATCATGCTATTCGACTGATTAAAGTTTACCGCCACCATAAATACAACAACATTTCCCATTGATATTGACGTTGCTTATTTTCAGTTGAGGGGCACTTACATGGATGTGCTGTTTAGTATTACTATTTCTGGATTTTAGACAAAGGATTCAGATGTCTGGAGCACATTTGTTGAGTACTGCATTAGTCTGCTATTATAGTCATCTATTGCATTGTTAAGCGTATTTTCTACCTTATTAGCATAATTTATTGTGCAATTTGATTGGCAAAACAAAACATTCTAACTACAACATCACAAAAACTCCTCTAATTAGCTCTGGAGTAATCTACAGTTCTGTCCTGACAACTCTCTGAGATATTTAGTATGTCAATGTACATGGCAATGAACAAAAAGTCACCAACTCACACAGGTGAGTAGGCTTGACAAATCAACTGTGAAAACACTCCCTTGTCCTTACACTAGCACTCCATTTTCTGAGCACTGACAGTTCCTTTGTATAGTTAGCACTTCTTGTGAGTATTGCGTCTTCTTGTTGAATCGCTGAATGCCTGCTCAAATGTAAGTCGCTTTAGAGAAAAGCCTCTGCTAAATGACTACATGTAGATGTGTTTGGTCTTGGCTGCAGAGATCTGCCACACTGCTGCTGCTTTGATTTAATGTGCAGAGCAAGTATGGAGACTATTGGCTACAGCCAGTGTATTCACAAACATGTCGTCTTAGAATTTAACACAGTGCTGCTGCAAACATAACACACACGTAACCCCTACAACAGATCTTTACACAGGGTGGACTAGAGTATCTGAATTTGTGGTGCAGATTGCTAGCACAAACAACACTGAGGTGTTTAAATGTTGAAGAGCAAGCTCATTGGCTACTGATGCGACAGCAGCCAATCACCTGTGCCATTTAGTTGTACGCAGATTGGATGTGACTTGACAGAACTTTGTCATGACAGAACTTTGTATACATCTATATTGGCCACTAAACTAATACCAAAATTACAGTCTGCAAAGCACAGGGGAAGACTGGCAAAGCTGGCTACCAATCACAGGAAGGCACGCTCAAGTGGGCGGTGCTTAGCTTACTGTGTTCTTCCTGTTCTTCAGCATGAAGCCATTCCCAGAACCTATAAATGCCATCATCCCCTGCTGGCTCTGTCTGAGCATGCTCAGATGGTTTTTTACCTAGACTGCTACGTCTGTGTGGGGGGAGACGAGGAGGCGGTGGTCTGGGGGGAACACAGGAAGTGGGACGAGCAGGAGGGGTGGAGCTTGCAGAAGCTGGACAACGTTTGATGGTTCCTTCTCCGGAATTGTCCTCTGAGGCAGAGCTGCTCTGAGCAGGAGACAGAACCTTCGGCTGGGAAGTGAGAAAAGAGAGAAACTGTGAGTTAAATGGATAGTTCAACCCAAAAAAAGTTTGGTCCCACTTTATATTAAGTGTCCTTAACTACTATGTACTTACATCAAAAAATAAATACAATGTACTTACTGTGTTTATAATGTATTTGAGAACACTTGTGGTGCATTTGAGTTGGGACAGAGGTTGGGTTATGGACAGGTTTGGTGGCATGGGTAGGTTTAAGGGTGGGTTAAGGTGTAAGGGATGGTCAACAGTGTATTTACAAATGTAATTACAAAAGTTAATTACAGATGTAATTACATACATGTATTTAATCCAGCATAATTACATAGTAAATACATGTATTTACACAATAAGTACATTGTAACAAACTATTAATTCCGGTGTAAGTACATATTAGTTAAGGCCACTTAATATAAAGAGACCAAAAGTTTTACTTCTGTTGAACACAAAATAAGATATTATGAAATAGTTAGAAAGTAGCAGCCATTGACTTTCATAGTATTTTTTGTTCCTACTATGGGTGTCAATTTCTAACAATATTAAGAAATGTATTAAAAATTTACAACAATATTCAGGATGTCTTGTTTTGTGTTTAAAAGAAGAACAAAATTCATAAAAGTTTAGAAGCGCTTGAGTTTGAGTAAATTGTGAGAATTTTTGTTTCTTGAAGTGCCATTTGGATGCAGAATGAAAACGTTCAAATATATTAGCACCCACGTTAATGCAAAACATCATTCTGTTCATTATAGTTGTGCACTGCAGTTTTGTTTTCTGCTCTTTGAAGAACACTTGTTTCTGATCTGCTACTGAAGTTCAATTCTGCTCTTGGAGGGCCAAAATCCTATAGATTTAGCTCCAACTAGCATCAAAATAGTTGCCTACAAATTTCTACTGAGCCTAAAGACTAACATTAACAGTTGATTAACAGTTTCAGACATGTTAAATTGGAGTAGGAGCAGAACTTTGCAAGATAGTGGCCCTCCAGAGATAAGTTTGGAAGGGGACAGGTTTCTGTGATTGGTTGACCATGTTTTAATCATTAACCAACTAGAGAAAAAAATCATTTTGAAAAATGTCATGATCGATAGAGCTTGGTGTGGACTCTGCTATTCTTTTATATTTTGATTGTCGGTTCAGATTGCCAAATTTCAAACCAATCCAAAGTTGCAAATTTTTATTTTGTAAAAGACAATTTCCCCATTTTTCAAGAATACAATATTGGCATTATCTTGAATCTGCCACAAACTTTCAATAATAAAAATGGAAATTACCCCAACCAAGGAATTTTTTTTTTCTCCTATATAATAGAAGTTATGCATGATGCATGATTTTAGGGCACACAATCTTGTTAGACAGTTCTGGAAGGTCATATATCTAGTATTTTTGATGACAGACATTGTCTCAGGCTAAAGCAATATTTGAAGTTGGCTGCTCCAGTTATTTAGGGGCAATCCTAATTCTACCCCTTAGCCCTACCCCTCATTTTGCACGTTCATGTGAAGAAGTAGGGGTGTCCCAATTCTCTTTATATTTAAGGCGTAGGGCTAAGGGGAAAGGGTTTAAACTGAGATTTTTCAGGACCACACTCGAAACCAAAGGGTAAGAAAATATCCAAAAAATACACCAGCCACAACGACAGTATAGCTGCACCCGAAAGTAAGGAGATCCACAAATTAGTATTTTTTGTCAATATTATGATTTTCTACAACAAACAAGCACATGTTTTAATATATTCATAACCGCATTTTTGTTTTACTTTAAAAAAAAATGCTAAAATAAAAAACGCAAAACTTTGCGATCTATAATCCATAGTCATAACTCCTGTACAGCAGTCTCACAACATTCTGACACTTGATGACACTCGAATGCCCTGTCAGAAAAGTCTAGTGCAGGGGTGTCAAACTCAATTCCTGGAGGGCCGAAGCCCTGCACAGTTTAGTTCCAACCCTGCTCCAACACACTTACCTGTAGGTTTCAAACAAGCCTGAAGGACTCAATTAGTTTGATCAGGTGTGTTTAATTAGGGTTGGAACTAAACTGTGCAGAGCTGCGGCCCTTTTGGAACTGAGTTTGACACCTGTGGTCTAGTGGCTGGGAATGTGTCTGCTATAATGTTAATGTTGTTTTTTGTGTGTTTACATAGATGAATAAGGCCACTGTGTAAATGCACAGTACAGTTACGAACTTATTGCCACATTAGATCACTATGATAACATAATATATGGTCTGTAGTGATTTCTTGAAGAAAAATACCAAAAAAAACACATGAATAACTACAGCAGTGGCGATCGTCTGATCTCATATGAAGCAAGAGATCGCGATGACATATGATGACGTGTATAGGTGCTGTAGGTCTGTTCCATTTCTTAGGGATAAATTTTGAAGTCCTTCCCCTTCACACTTTTAGGGCCATGGGGAAGGGGAAGGGGTAGGGGTACAAAAATAGAATTGGGATTGGACCTTAATCACACAATCAGTTAAGTTGAATGAGTTTTGTTGGACATCTACAAACTTACTTTAAAAATGGCATTGTTAAAAAGTTTGTTCAAATGTATCAATCTAATTATAAAAATGATCCACTTCAATTGAGTGCAAACATTTTTAAGATATCTGTGTGCATTTTGTTGCATGTCCATCCATGCGCTTCACTGAAAAGATGTAGATGTTACTTTTACCTTGGGAGGCAAAGGAGGTGGTACTTTAGGCCTCATGGTTGACGTGGAGTTGCAGCTGTAGGCACAGATACACAACAGCATAATGAAAGGATTTATAGATGTACAATATATGGTAACATGAAAAAAGGATAAGAAAACCACTGGCATTTTGTCTCTGGACAGTGAAAACACATACAGGGATTCATTCGGACGAAGAAAGAGACCATATGCAGTGTCACAAACAGTAAAGATTCACATTCTGCAAGCAAGAATGGGCATGTGGACACAAGACAGACACAAACAGTGCTGATTACGCTCACAAACAAGTGTAATCTACCCAGACCAGGACAGAGGTTGGGAATAATGGAAACTTCTTTAGAGTTTCCTCTTCCAAGAAACTTTAAGTTGGAGAAACATAATTTGCAATTGTCCTCACTTTGGATTTCTTCAAAGCTTTAAACTGACTGCAAATAAAAGTGTTTCTGAATATTTCGTGAAAACAAATGCTTGATCGAAATTCATCTGAAATACAAACCTCAATCACAACTTTGTATTCATTGCCAAGGTGTTGCCATGTAGTTACTAAGGTTTCCTAAATGACTACCAAGGTGTCCTATGTGGCCAGAGTGTTGTGGTTTCCTGGCCTGTCCTGTGTGGCTATGTGGTTTCCTGTTTCTATAGGCTGATTTCCGTGCCAAAACAAAAATAGCCACTATGACCCTGTTTATAAATGGCATTAACATACACTTGGCCAATCTAATTACAAGTAAATGAAGGACTTTTTCTTTCACTTTAATCAAGTGGTTCCCGTTTCCGGTCCACATTCTGTATGTCTCTCTTAATTGACACCAGTTCATGGATTTCTTTGTTAACGAGCAGATGATCTGAATCAGATCTGTTAAGTAAGGAAGACCGGCTGTGTCTGAAATCGCTTACCTACATGCTAAAATCAGTATAGAGCCGAGTAGTATGTCCGAATTCATATGGTGTGTCCCAAATCACATACTTATGCACTATTCTATGCCATTTTGTAGTATAAATAGTGTAAATAGTGCGTTCACACTGAAATCTCTAAGCATAATAAGTGCACTTTAATTACCTGGATGATGCACTTATTCAACCGGTAATATGAAGTGTGAACTGTTGGATTGCTATCCTATGATGGCCTGCGAGAGAATTCATAAATGTGAGTGAAGCGAAGTAACTCACATTGGGTCATGTGATCATGACAAAATGGTGGATGTAGTACGTCCGAGTTCCATTTATACTACTTACATTCATACTGTATAGAACAGGGTTTTTCAAAGTCTAAGACAGTGGGCCTCCCTTTTGACACAACTTATCCATTGGCGCCCCCCTCCTCCCAAACACGCACGCACACACACGCACACACACACACACACACACACGCACGCACGCACACACACACACACACACACACACACACACACACACACACACACACACACACACACACACACACATATATATATATATATATATATATATATATATATATATATATATATATACAGTATATATAAAGACACAGACAGATGTCAGACTGTTAACTCACTTTTATCATCATTTGCATGAAAGTGCAATTATTTACAGAGTAATAAGTATTTTAATATAACGTTTTTAAAACTAGGATGATGGTTCAATATGAATAGAACAGTTCCAAGAACTGTCCATCCCAGTCAAAACAGTGGAAGTTTAGTGGGTCTCATGCTGTCATTAGCCAAAATATTTTGACAAACCACACATAAAGGTCGTGGTTCATCAGCTGGTCCTGTCCACGTAAATTCTAAACTCAAATACTGATCATCATATCGTCGTCTTTTGGGTTTAAGCCCAAGGCTTAAACCCAAGGCTTTTGTGGCGAGGGGGCGTGGCCGAGCGCCGTGGGAATGGAGTGAGGCCACCGCGTAAGTGCATACACCTGCGGTGCGCACCTGCCTCAGATCCCACGGAAGGAGCTCTGGATCATAAAAGGAGGAACAAGGGCAGAGGAAGCCGAGGGAGGACCGGACCCGGACATATTTTATTTTCAGTTTGACGGCAGTCTCCGTGAGGATCTGCCGTCCGTTTGTTTTGGTTTAGACGGAGCTGCCGTCACTTTCATAATAAATCACTTTAAAACTGCTTCGGTTCTCCGCCTCCTTCCCGGCGGCCAAAGGGCCGTGAACTTCATTACAGCTTTGAATCGGGGTGGGTCTCAGAAACCGACCCATTGTATTAGCAGGCATATACCTGTATTGGCGGGCTTGCCAAACAGAAGCGAATTCACAGCTATGGCCTTCTGGTTAAAAAAGGTTTTCTTATAGGCCTATTTGACGTATTATTATTTTATTTTTTTGCTTTGTTTAATTAAAACGTTTAAATATAATAAAAAATACATATTATAATTAAACTTAATAATTATATTTTTATTATATTATATTTTTTCCTGCGCCTCCCCTGACATGCTCTGGCGCCCCCCAGGGGAGGCGCGCCTCACACTTTGAAAATCCCTGGTATAGAACATACTTTTCTTACGGCCGAGTAGTATGTTTCAACTCAAATGCAGTACCTACTGAGTAGTAGGTGATTTCAGACACAGCCATACAAAATGTGCAGGACTAAGGTTCCCGAGGAATGGATTTGGATTTGGGAAGCACTGCTTTAATTCAGAATTTCTATTTACTTTTGGCTACTTTCCTGTTTTCTTTAAGTGGATAGTTTGGGTGTATGGGTCTCTTCTGAGACGAGACCAAAGAGACTTAATCAGCAGGAAATGAAAGAAACATCTTAGTTTCTGATCTGATTAGCTGAAAAACAAAGCTGAATGCTGTGGGTTTGTGTTAAAATCAGAACTGACAGAAGATCTTTTTCTTAAGCAGGCAAAAATATAAGACTGCAATTTTGTCCATCAGCAATTGCCTTGTTTTTTCTTATAATTGCTGTGACCTCACATAAGTAACAGGTTTCTATTGGCCACTGTACCCAACATCAGAGAAGTTCAGAAGAACATTATTATGGTGAGGTAAAGTTAAGAATTAAAAAAGTGAATAAAAAAAACAAAAAAAACGTTCAATAATGATCATGCATTTACGCACCAGCAAGCAACGAAAAACCAGACACATTACAAAACAAACCCACAATCCAATCGCACATCTGATTGACACTAACAGACGGGGAGTGACGGATGAACACAAGTGTTTTCGAATGGTACACATCTCACAATACATCTTCCTCTCACTTACTGCAAATCATCACCTTCATCCTCCTCCTCATCCTCTAAATGTGTCACATGACCCCTGAGAGAGATGAAGAGGGTGAGGCTGAGAGGGTATAGCAGCCAGAGAACAATGCAGAGAACACACACACACACACACACTCAGCAGTAAGAGCTGCTCTGTGCCAAGCAGAGGAGGAGTGTGCAGAGGTGATTAGTGTGCATAGCCGTTTGGCTGACCAATCAAAAGAAAGCGTGGGAGGGGGGTGTACCTTTGATTGAGCTCCTCAGCGACAGATTTTAATAGACTCCTGAAAAACAATGAATAAAACTTCATAAATATACACAACACACAAAAACATCTGTGTAAACTCGTGATGAATTACAACACCAAATTGACCATTTATCAACTGGTCATCCAACAGCAAAGTTACTTGATTAGCAAGGTCAACTAGTAGACTTGCTCATTTAATTTTAGTACTCTTTGGCACTTTAAACTAGGAATGAGTCAAGACAGATTATCAGTTGACCAACATTCACCTGATTAGTGATGTCCGCTAGCCTTAATTTTCTTTAATTGTTAATGTTCAGATTTGTTAATCTAGAGATGAATCAAGTTGGATGACACATTTGATTGATTTTTAGATGTTATGTTGATTTATTTGTCGTGCCTTTCTTCCCCTATTTAATTTTTTTTCAGTTCAGATTAACACAGATGAGTCAACTAGTCATCCACTGCCCTACTAGATAACTAGGAATGTGGCGGTATAAGATTCTGACGGTATGATAACCTTGGATAAAAATATCACGATTTCGCTGTATCATGGTACTGTAATTACTGCTCTAAAATATATTCTTTTTAAATTTAGAAAAAGAATTACTTTTTTAATATTTAAAAAAAAAACTTTCTCCCCATTGAACACAATATATTTTATTTTAAGAAACATTTCAATATTTTGGAAGAGTAGCTTTTGATGCAGAGGGTTCTTAACAGCTGGAGATACTGTTGCCCTAAAAAACTAAATAAAATAGTTGTAAAGAAAAAAAAGGTTAAAAAAAAAAACTTACATATACTGTAGCAATGATTTAACAGAAAGTTATGGCAGTTTTAAAATCCTGACTTTTTCAAACCATGGTAAACCTTTAAAACTGTTATCGTCCCATGGCTATAAGTAACTAGTTTTAGACATTTCTTAGTATATTTATTTTTTAGGCGTATTATTTTTATACTATTTTATAAGCATGATAAAACCTTGTTAAACAGTTAACTAGTTTAAAGTTAATAGCTTATTTTTCATAAACATTAAAATAATAACTAGAGATTAAACGAAACAGTCAGTTAGTTAATTATATTATCACTGATGTTGCCAGTGATCTTGCCGGCAGCTAGCTCTCTGCAACTCTCACATGGTCACCCACTGAAGCCAAGCAGGGCTGTGCACAGTCATTATCTGCCGGAGGTGGTGTTAGTGAGACCAGCAGGGGGCACTCAACCTGCGGTCTATGAGGGTCCTAACGCCCCAGTATATTAAAAGAGGACACTAAAGTGCTCAGTGAGCTTTCGGATGAGATGTTAAACCGAGGTCCTGACTCTTTGTGGTCATAAAAAAAATCCCAGGATGTTTTTCAAAAAAGAGTAGGGGTTTAACCCTGGCATTCTGGCCAAATTTGGCCACTGGCCTCTTAACCATCCCCATATAACAACTGGCTTTATCACAATTGGCTTTAGCACGTTTTATATTTGTACGGAACAGCGAAAACGCAGTTCTTGTTTATTTTATGTTTTAATGCCATATCAAAAGCATTGGAGGTATTTATGGCAACACTTGTACTAAACATTTAATATATAATTTACAAACATATCCATTTCTTAATTAATAATTGTACAAAAAATATACAAATAACGGCAAATAGCTGATGAAACGTCATAAGTTATTTCAGTTTGATCATTGATAAATATTCTAAATATTTAGTTTTTTTTAAACATTTGCCTTCAAATATTTCCTGAATAAAAACTAAATATAAACTAAAACAAAAATATTATTTAAAAATTCACATTCTATTAAACCGTTTTATTGTCAAAATAGTCTTACACAAGTCATAAATAGGTTTTTCTCACTCTTTTAAGAAAATATGCGTGTAAGTATGGTAGCCAATTCTACATCTCGTATGTACATCTATTTCTTTCATTTACACATGGATTCACTTCATATAATTAGCTATTGTTGACTAGTTCACAAATTTTCTTTACTTTAACATACTCACTTGTTATTTCCCAGAATGCTTTGGGGCTCTAATGGCAGATCCTACAAAAAAAACAAAAAACATTGAGACACGCAGTCCAAACAAACACAATAAATACAACAAATAGAGGGCAAAGTCTGACAAACCATCTCATGATGTGGTTCGGTCTCTTTCCTCAAAGGAGGGTCAAACTTCACCTTGTCAACTAGAAAAGCGACACACGCACACGCACACGCACACGCACACACACGCACACGCATACGCATACGCACACGCACACACACACACACACGCACACGCACACACACACACACACACACACACACACACATCAGATTTCACTCAGTGCTTTTAAGCAGGATAAGAATTATTGTGCTTATTCCGGTTCAGTGAGTCAAGGGTTAGTTAACACATGACTTACAGTTAATCTCAGACAAAGTCTTTCCATCTCGTGAACTCCTGCTAGTTGAGCGGATTCGATGTGGAACGGACACAGGAGACTGCAAACCAAAAGACCAAAAGCTTAATTACTTTTCTGAATGTCTGTTATACAACTCTGTCACACTTTACAATAAGGTTCCATCGTTAATGTATTTACTAATGTGAATTAATAATGAACAATACTTTTACAGCATTTATTGATCATAGTTCAAGATTTACCAATGCGTTGTTTAATACAAATTCATGCTTGTTAACATTAGTTAATGCACTATTTAACTTAAACAAAAAACAGCTTCATTTTATTAACCAACGTTAACAAAGATGAATAAATAGAGCAAAAAATTTATTGTTTATGTCAGTAAATACAAGAACTAATACAATGTTATTATAAAGTGTTACCTAAAATTCCAACCTTTCCTCAAGACAACACTGCAAACCACTGGCATTAAATCAATAAACTCGCATGCATTCACATACACACACTCTTTTCAAATATGTGCACTGCAGCATGGATAACCAGACACACTTGTACCTGGCAGCTGGCAGAGCCAACTGTCTGCCCACATTTAGGTTCTACATCTAAAGAAACAACCAATTAAAAATAAATGCTTCAGTTTAATCCCTGTCATGATTTCCCGCTGGTATAAAATGAAGGAGAGCGTCAGACATATGACATCACCTCTGGGTCGATGTCATCCTCCTCTGCATCACTGTGTGTGCTGTGGTCAGGGTTATTAGCTTTGTCCAGTAGCTCAATGGCGAGAGTCCGGCTAAGAGGCTGGGTAACGAACGGATGCTGAAAAAAGGGAAGTGACGCAATGAAACATCATAATGCCAGTCATGAATCACATCTAAATGAGGAGCAAATCTTACCTGCAGTAATCTGTCAGCCGTGGGCCTCTTCTTGGGATTTTTGGTCAAAGCCATTTTCACAAAGTGATGGAAATTATTTGTCCTATGAGAACCAAAACAAACCAGATGAGTGTGAGTCCTTGTAAAATTTCTACTGATAGTATTTGTTTTCTCTGGTAAACAAAGAGGTTAACTAGTAGATGGGTAAACTACATTTGCATTTACACTAATGAACCATATAATTGAACCAGTTTGAAAAAAAAAAAACAGCGTTTAAAAACCCATTTGGATTTTGAGGCACAAATAACCTTCTTGTCATGTGTAAAACATAGCTGAAGGGCATTCTAATTAAAAGTATGACAACATTATGCAAAAACATGTAAAAATTATTGTTTAATTTAAAATTGTAAATGTATTTCTCGATATTTTTTGTTTTACATAAATTAGGGCTTGTAGATTTGGCCTTAAATTCAAAAGCTCGATTAGTTGAACATTTTAACTCGATTACGAATAACTAACAATTATCTTATTTATTAATTCTGTGTTTTGGCCCTTATAGTTCACTGACAAGTTTTGTACAGTAAATGTGCTCACATACAAGTTTTACTTGATTTTAAAATAATTGAAGTAAACACACACTATCTACTGTCTATGATTATTTATTGAACATCAATGATGAACAACTGAAATTAAAGCACACATTGCCTAAAACGCTGCTCTCCGTGCCACCCACCCTCATCATCACTACCAAAATCAACCAATCACAAAGCTTGTGCTAAGTGTCATTGCGATGTGTAGTTATATTTTTTTGAGAGCTGTGCGGGTATGCGAAGGCTGCACCGGACAGTACCAGTGCGATTGGCAGAAGTGTGATATCAGAATAATATAAGTATAAATCAGAATATAATATGAATAAATTAGCCTTAACAAAGCGAGGTCACGTGACTCCACACACGGAAGCAAAAGTAATTGAAAAAATTGACCTGGAAAAATTTGATCGATTATAGGTTCTGAATGTCGATTTCGATTACTTTTTGATTAATTGCCCAGCCCTAACATAAATGTATTCTTGAGTAGAAGTGATTTCTCACAAAAACATTTAGTAAATTTTACTGATGTCACCCTTTTAAACAGTAGTGTTTCTTTCTTTCATTGCTTCAATGTGAACTGTACACTTAAATTACACATAGAAAATACTTACCATTTAACTTTGTCTTTTAGCTTAGGTGGTTGGAAACTGCTCTTGGTCATTAGGAAGAGTGCTCTGAAAAAGACAAATGGGAAAAAGAAGTAGAAAATTTAAGTGTTGTCATACTAGCGCTTCACGATAATGAAGAAAAAAATGCATTATTTTTAAAATGTAAAAAAACAACAACAATTCATTGTTTTAAAATGAATGAGGTAAGAAAGTGCTTCATATTTTCTTGTAAGTCAAATATTGAATAATTAAAATGCAACTTCACAGTCTTTAAATGAAATACAGTTAATCGTTGTTAAAGCAACAAATGCTATCCTTTCTTGCTCCTGAATGTTTTTAAACTCACCTGATATGTTTACACAGCAACAGACCATTGAAACACATGCAAATGATGAACTTTCACACCACAAAGGGTAAACTGTGCAATTAATCCACAAATTACATGCATTCTGAACTGTGGTGCCTGGTCAACTGGAAACCCTGCATTGCGCACATTGCGATGACATTATTTTGCAGGGCTGCACTATGTCATAAAATCATCATTTTCCTGATAACATTATACGCAATTCACATATCACAGACATGTGGGATCAACTATATTTATTTTAGCATTGGCTGTTTATTTAAATTTGACCAATCAGGTGAGGCCTTACTATCTTTATCTCCACCTCCCCAATAGTTGCTGTTCTGCTATTGGCTGGAGCGGCCCAAAGCTGAAAAAAAAATACTAATGGGCAATTGAGAGGAAAATGACAACAGCCAATCAGAGTCAGAATATCTGCTGAGCTTTTCACTCACTGTTTCAGAGACTAATGTTTGCACCTTGACAGTTTTTAGATCTGAAAGATATGTTTGACTTATTTTTAAATGATTAAATAAATAAATAAATGATTTAAAATATAGTCATAAAAATAAATAGGGAAAGGTTATATTGTAAGAAATATAATTATTAAAATACTCAACAACATTGAATATCACATATTTTTCCAGTATCGTGCGGACTTAAGCTTTTGTGCAGCCCTGTCACATAAAACATGGCCTATAATATCTTTAAACTATGGAATTAGTCAATTAATTTAGCACAAAATTTAGCAGAGAGACTTTAAATCAGTCCAAGTCACTGGAAACACACCTCATAGGGTGCAAGTCGAACATTGGTGGCTCCAACTCCGCCAGCTCAATAGCTGTGATGCCCACAGCCCAAATATCACACAGCTGATTATAGCCACCTTTCCGCTCCACTGCTGCCACTTCAGGTGCCATCCTGCAGAGAAACACACACAGTGTAGAGAAATTAATTTTTGCAATTTAACAACTAGAAGAAAACTATTAGAATGAGAAAGGACTGGCATACCAATATGGAGTTCCAATGAAGGACTTTCTTTTTGCTAAAGTGGCTGAAATCTGAGCCGAAACGCCAAAATCAGCTGGACAGAGACAGACGAAAGATGTTAGAAAGGAAAGGTTAGTGCTTCTGAATAACTGTGATCTCCAATAAATGTGTTTTGTTACCTAGCTTAACATAGCCGTTGTCTGTTAACAGTATATTTGCACCCTGCAAAACAAGAGTAGAACCAATATGAGCAGCTGTAAATGAGCAAACTCTTTAAATCTACATTTCTGATGAGACATAATATTTGATTCAGACTGACATCTGAGCTGGATAAAGAAAACTTAAAGGTCTTGCTAGTAAAGCTTTGAAAGATGAGAATTGTATTCAAGGTTACAGTGACAAACAGAAGTCGTAAAATAAGTACGTTTAAGTCCCTTTGATGCACAAACAAACCATGTATTTTTGTTGTCAATACAATGATCGCTCAGTGTATTCATGCACAGACACTTAAGAACAATCACATTTATTCCACAGGCATTCAGGATGTTTTGGTCTTGTGCAAATATTTGTGATTACAAGATTAAATCTAATGAAATTGTCCGGTTAAAATATCTATTCATTGATATTTCTATTTTAAGAACAACATCCTCTTCTCCATTCTCATGAGTGCTAATTATGTCAAGATTGTCAGGAATGGTCTCTTTAATGTAAGATTCAACACTGTTTGTACCTTTATATCCCTGTGGATTTTGCCTTTGTTGTGAAGGTAGTAAACACCCTGAAATAAACACAGAAGCCCACATTACTATTTTAATAAGTTGAACTGTGACTCAACAGAATCAGTAAATCAGTAAACATTTGTGTTTATACCTGCAGGGTCTCCCGGCATACATAAGCAATCTGGGATTCTGACAGCGGCCCGGTAACTGTTGGATACAGATATGTAGATATATTTGTGTATATGAGAAATTCTGTACAACAGCTCAAGATGATAAATGCATTATAACATCTTGTTTTAGCTTCATATTTACCATGATAAATATCCTGGAGTGAACCTCCACCACAGTATTCCATGCTGATCCATAATTTATCTCTCCTGAAACGGATATTAAATGTGAAATCTTGTCAGACCAGTTTCAGACACAACAGCTTAAAACCGATGCTTGTTTAAGTTATTTGTGATGTGTATTAAAATAGAATATATGCTAATATATATTTTTAAGACTCTTTGGTCAAATTGATTGATTTGATCAAAAAATACAAAAAAGCAAAAACATTCTTCATTGTCAGATGATTAGAATAGAGAGAGAGAATATTATTATTATTATTATTATTATTATTATTACTTATTTAAAAATGTTGATTGTTAAATCTACAGTTTATTCTGATTTATTACTTTATTTTATTATTATTGTTTAAAATATATATTTTATTTATTTATTTATTTGTATTTTTATTTAATTATTATTATTATTATTATTATACTATAAATTATAGTACTATACTACTATTCACTATGTATACTACTATTTACTATGTAAGTGTTTAGTGTTTACTATGTTGTTGTTGTTGTTGTTTTAAATAAATATGTATGTTCTTTTTAATGTAAACTTTATAAATGCTTTGCCTATACATTTGTCATGCCAATAAAGCAATTACTGAATTAAATTGAATTAAACTGAATTGAAAGAGAAATAGAGAGCAAGAAATTATTAGATCCACATATTTCTCCATTTTGCAGATAATTACACCACATTTTACATAATACAGAAACATTAAGGTATATTTTGGGAGAGAACTCCAGTCTGAGATCAACAATAGCAAAGTATTTATTAGCCTGTCATGAACACAGACACTGGACAAAACTAGTCAGAAACATTATTACAAACCATCAGTTGTGTATTGTAATTGATTATATTTTAATAATATATTTTTCTTTTTCATTATCTTTTTAATACTCATATTAGTCTTGAGTGTTTTTTGTGTGTGTATGTGTATTATATAATCATTTTACATTTTTATTCACTGTTTATAAAATATATAATATTTACCAAATATATACCAAACCATATTACAATAAATTTGCCAAGGGGAATTTCCAAAAAAACGTTGCTTTAAATCATGTTAACTAAAGCAGTTTCATTTTGAACATTTTACTGAACTTATTACAGTAAAAACATAAACAATCCCATTTATAACACAATAGAGTTTGTTACTGAATACACTAGTCGAGCTGCTCCTGCCTTCACCTTGATTTGCTCGCAGATGACTTGTGCATTGTCCTCTATCTGTCAAGTGACAGTATTTACATTTTTGAATAAAAGGATCTAGTCAAGAGTTCACACTTATAATCAATAGAGCGTAATTGGCATGCTGTTCCAGGAGAGAGCTCTAAGTTCGTAATATCCTCGAGCCCGGGGCTCCCTCCCGTTGGAAGGGCGAGAGGGAAGTTCGAGCTCAGGTAGGTCACAAAAACTCCCCTGCTTGTCGCTATGTGAGAAGCGTAAACTAAGGTTGTCTTGGGTGATAATTTGGTTTAGTCGCTTGGCTATAGTGTATGTTTTTGGACCGTGGGAGGAAACCGGGGAACCCGGAGGAAACCCATGCAAACACGGGGAGAACATAGTGAACTCTGCACACAAACGCTAACCGGCCCTATAGGAGGATGGACCAGCGTTCTTGCTGTGAGGCAGCAGTGCAAGCCACTGGGCCTCCGTGTCACCCTATCGGGGAAAAAAGGTGGGAAGTAGGGGTGGAAGAGGGGGTAACTTCAAGACAAAGATAACTGGAGTGAAAAGTTTTGCTTATTGATAATGCTTCCCTAATCATCTAATAGAGCAGATTACAGAACTAAAGAGGTGCCAGTTGTGTTGGTCATAAGCACGTGATAATTAGAAAATTAGTTTATAAATAAACCACACTTATTTTCCCCAAATTGAAACTTGGTATAGTGCTGGTAAGACGCTTCTGCTTTGCATTAAAAAAACGTTCTATATTAATTGAAGCCTGGTGTTTTACTGCATGTGTGTACACGTACCTGAGGTAACTGCCAAAATACGCAACAATGTTTGAGTGTTTACAGTCTTTCATCATAATAATCTCCTGCTGCACCACGTCAAAGTCCTCCCCTGCAAAAGTCAATTCACAAACTAATTAAGCAAAAACAAAAATGTAATAATCAAAAGTAAGTGAGTGATCACACACAGCCCGTATTTGTAGAGTACAGCACAGTGACATATGCGTGAACACACCATTGCTGTAATATTTAACCACTGAAGTATAGATGGACAGTGATAGAGCACAATCTACAGGTGGTTAAACGGCAGTGTGTGTGCAGCAGCTCACCTGGCTCCAGTTTGATGACTTTGATAGCAGCCAGTTCTCCAGTGCTGACATTACGAGCCTGGAAAAAGGAAAGCATTACAAGATGTGAGTCCATAAGGTGTAAGATAACACATTTTGGTCCTGCAATTGCTTTAATCGTTATTGCATCAGATATATGATAGATGTTTTGTGTGTTGCATGAGTACGTATTCAACTTAACTTAATAGAGAGGTGTGTAATTTCTGCATTACTAGTGGTTTTACAAAACAATTATCTACCAATGTTTGGTCATACAGATGGTCCCTCTGCAAATGAACACCACTGATTGGCTGTTGTTGACTGCATGAACAAAAAGTAATGCTATTTTTTTGTTTTTAAAGAAAGTAACACACAAATAGCATATATTAGGGCTGCATGATATTGGAAAAAACGTATATTGCGATATTTTGGTTTGCTGTGATATACATTGCAATATGAATACAAATTCAGCATATGGTTTGAATAGCTCTATTTGGAAAGATTTCATAATTTTATAGATCGACTGGGGTGATCAAGTCTTTTTCTATCCAGTTCATCTGCATAAATTTGAATAAATCACAATCAAAAAATAAATAAATAAATAAATAAACAGTGATTTATGGTTTTCTGGAGTCTAATAGTATTAAATTGAACAATCAAACGTAAAATAACATATTCATCATTGTATAAATAATGAAAAAAAAATAATATATAATCATATCTTTATCTTTTAATCTTTAATAAATAATAAAATCCTACAATGTGACTATTGCGGATACACACATTGCAATATTGATGCTTAAAGGATATACCGTTCAGCCCTAGCATATATGCACTTGTTTTTGCTCAAATAAAGAACCGTATTTGACCAGTGTGGGATTTTAAGAGGCTTATGCTGGTTTAAAGACATACAGTAGTTCACACAAAAATGAACATTCTGTCATCATTTACTCATCTTTCACTTGTTTGAAACCTTTATGAGTTTCTTTCTTCTGTTGAACACAAAAGAAGATATTCTGAAAAATGTTGGTTGCTGGAACCCATTCTACTATGTAAGTCAATAAGTCCCAGCCACCAGCATTCTTCAAAATAGCTTATTTTGTGTTTAACAGATAAAAAGAAATTTCTAAACGTTTTAAAACTACATGATGAGCTCTATATTTAATGACAACAAAAGAGTTTGTAATTTGATTTGATTGGTTTCCCGGTAAATAAAAGGGTATTAGCCAGGGGTGTCCAAACTCGGTCCTGGAGGACCAGCGTCCTGCAGATTTTAGCTCCAACTTGCTTCAACACACCTGCAAGGATGTTTCTAGAAGGCCTAAGAGCTTGATTAGCTATCCCAGGTGTGTCTGATTGGGGTTTGCAGGACACCGGCACTCCAGGACCGAGTCTGGACACCCCTGGTATAAGCCCATTCTTTTGATTATTGGTAAACCTTTTTAGGATATTGGCTATTGGTTGAATGGTTATTTTATAAACTATTTTGTTTAAAAAAAAAAAAGCTTTAAATTATACAGTTTTTTACACCAGTGTTTCTCAACCACATTCCTGGAGGAGCACCAACACTGCATGTTTTGTATGTCTCCTTTGTCTGTCATAATCATTATTACAGGTCTCTTAAGCTGCGGTCACACTCGAGTTTGAGCATGCAAAATTCTGTTGTACGGCGCTGCGAAAGGGGGCGGGATGATTAGACATTTAAAAAAGTGAGCGATTGGCCCATATTTTAAATATCTGTACAGAGAGGTCATGTTTTGACGCAGTCAAGTGATGCAATTTCACAGGTCAGAGTTCACCAAGCTTGAACTTTGCAACGCAGGGAACTGCGAAACTTGACACAAACTTAAGTTTCCTGTCTGACGCATTTGTGTGCGTATAAATGGAAGTCTATGGAGAGAAAAGTCCAGTGTGACCGCAGCTTAATGAGTGATCTGATGATCAAAATCAAGCGTGTTTGGTGAAAAAGTGCAAGCTGGTGGTCCTCCAGGAACGTGGTTGATAAATTCCGATTTACACCATTGTAAAAATGTTTTGGGGTCAATAATTTATAAATATTAATATTTTCTTCAGAAAGAGTTCATTAAATTGATTAAAAGTTTGACTGAAAGATTCACAAGATTTTAAATGAGAATTTAAAATGATTTCTATAGCAAATAAATGTATTCCTACACAATATTAGGCCGTTTTTAACACCGACAACATTAAGAAATGTGCATCAACTAACAAATCAGCACATCAGAATAATTTGTAATGTAGTAATAATGCTGAAAGTTCTGCTTTTTTTTCAGCCAACAAATGATCTAAATCAGGGGTGCTTAAACTCGGTCCTGGAGGGCAGGTGTCCTGCAGATTTTAGCTCCAACTTGCCTCAACACACCTGAATGGATAATTTCAAAAAGCCTAGTACATGGGTCTCAAACTGGATTCATGGAGGACCGCAGCTCTCCACAGCTTTTACTCCAACTCTAATCAAACACAGCTGATCCAGCTATTCAGGGTGTTCAGGACTACAATTAGGTGTGAGTTGGAGGTGGTTGGCGATAAACTATGCAGAGCTGCAGCCATCCAGGAATTGATGCTACATTCCAATTAGCAAACTATCCATCCTAAATAGTATCTGAAAATAGAATTAGTATGTCCTAAATCGTTGTATATTGAAAAGAGTATGCCAAAGGTTCCTGGGTGGTTTACTATTTCTGGTAAAAAAAATTGAAGGGTAGAACCGTCCATACTCTAATGGCTGATATTGCCCACAATACATTGCGTGTTGGATGTGAGTTTGATTAGAACTACAAACATGGCAGGCACACAAAACTAACCGTAGAGAGGCTTCGGGAAAGATGTTTGAATGACAGTTAATCAATATCTAGCCTGGAACTAGAAAATATAGAAATCTCATTTTCTGTGTTGTACTTCATCTGCAACAATAATAGTGAACCTATATAAAGACGTGTTTGGACATTAACTTATAAATGCATGATTGGAGATTTCTCTACATCAGGGGTTACCAAACTTGTTCCTGGAGGTCCGGTGTCCTGCAGATTTTAGCTCCAACCTTAATCACACACCTGAACAAATTAATCAAGGTCTTACTAGGTATGTTTGAAACATCCAGGCAGGTGTGTTGAGGCAAGTTGGAGCTAAACCCTGCAGAGACACCTGCCCTCCAGGACCGAGATTGGTGTCCCCTGCTCTAGATAAAAGACTCATGAATGGCACATTATCCTGCTGCTTCTCTATTAAGGTAGGAAATTAAATATGACGGAAATGTGGATGATTGACAGGGCTCAAAACTAAGCAACATAAAGATCTGTTAACGAGCAAGTAGTATGAGTAACTTACATACTCTTCTGTTAAGCACTCAAAAGTGCTTATACTTTTCCTTCACAAAAAAAAAATATACTTTTATTTTATAGTATATGTACGCGAATTGGGATGCAGCAACAGTTTTAGACCACTGGCTTAGTAAGAGCTTGATTAGCTAGCCCAGGTGTGTCTGATTGAGGTTGGAACTAAACTCTGCAGGACACCGGCCCTCCAGGACCATGTTTGGGCACCCTGCTCTAAATGATCATATACAAATGAACATTTTACCTAAAACACACATCTCTTACTGGCAAATTCAGAACTGATAATAACACTGAAGCTGTCAGTTTTTCCCAGGGCTCTGGATATCAATTTAAAAAATACTTTTCAGGATTTTCTAGAACACGCTCCCACAGTATTTGCATGTTCTCCCACAATTTAACACACAAACACAGTCACAAAGGCCTCGTCTATAAAACCGAACTGAGAGACATCTGTCTGCCAAACAGAAGTGAGGATGATGTCATCAGAGAGACACAAAAAGAAAGAGAGATTTTCCAACACTTTATCGCAGTTTCGCAGGGAACTCCATTCAGCATTCCAAGTCATACGAAACCGAGGCAGCTGGAAAAATGTCTATTGATGTTCAGAGCGCTGTGATGGCTGTCAAAAGTAGGACAAGGAGAACATCAAATAACTTTCACATGCGCACACACTCACACAGGGCCTCTCTGATCACAGTGAGGCATTTCACTGTCCTGTTATAAATAAGCTCAGGGCTGTTTCTACTTTATTAAATGGTAATTCAGAAATCGAAGCAGGAGTAATGCATGCAAGCAAGCAATCTAATTTGCTATCTTACAATAATCTGCCACACTTTATTAGTGACTACTATACAGGTACATGCTGCCCAGTGAATTTGTGGAAGGCTCATATGTTCACACCGCCGGGTAATGCTGGGGCCCAGTTTCAGGTCTGCTCTCTGTGGAGTTGGCAGAAAAACATTTCGCTTGGTGCTTTAGGTTTTCTGCTCCTGAATTTTAAGCATGTCTGATAAACCCACTCAAGCAACAAGGCTCTGATTGAGTAAACGTGCGTGTATTACATGGCATACACCCAACACACACTCAGACCCACGCACACTGTAAAACCCCAGGAAGAGGGAACAATTACGAACAAACAGGATGGACATAGTTGTGGGCAAGCAGCACACTCACACAGACACACTCGCAGTTTAAAGTTCAGCCACTTCCTGTCACCAGAGGAAGTCAGAACACATTTAAGGTTTCTTATGAACATGACTGCACTTGCCCTCCCCCTTAGATCCCAAACACCTTGCTACAGCCCTCAGTAGTGACCATCTGCCACTGCAACTCTCTCTGCAGTAAATTGGTCTACTCTTGTCTTTGTTTATGTCACGTACATCACATAAAAAGATGGAAGATGTGAATCTGACAGCTTAGCACTGGCTTTCTCTAATGAAATAGACTTGCTAGGCCGTGTGCATTATGCAAACAAAGATCTTCAGAGTCTTTCAGGATATTACACCACATCCTAGCCGCAAAATTGCTACAGAACACAAATACACTGCGGTCCGGTGTAAACACACATCTGTTGTCTCTCGTACACACTGGTTCATTGGTCAGTTAAGTGGCTGTGTCTTAATCCCTAGTGAGCTCCCTAAGAAGACAGCGTTTTCGGGCACCACAGGCGCATTCTCTCCTTTTGAAAAAAGCGCCTATGGTGTACAAATATGCAGTCTAGGTAGGTAGCTTGCTAGGTTCTGATACCCAGTTGATCTCTACCTTGTATACATCCCCATAGGTTCCGCTCCCGATCCTCTGGATCAGCTCAAAGTCCTCCTGTGGGTTTCTGCGCGATAGATCCAAGCTTAAATTCATCGTGCGAGTCACCGTTTGCGCCCTCCGGTTTATTTACGTTTTCCCGATGTCAAAAACGGGAGGGGGGTGATGATCGCACAGACATACAGTAACGATGGGATATGACGGTCCAGTCCCACCGAACTACAACAACATGGCCTCCTCTGCGCATGCGCAGTACGACTGACTGACAACACGTACCGAGGATGGAGAGAAATGTGTACATAATGAAGCAGAAAGACACCGGGAAACTTCAGAAACGCTGATAATGGATCTATTTCACTTTAATACATATAAAATCACTTCATTTCAATAAAGAAAGACAACACGAACTAATCGTTTTAAACAAAACTTGTTTAAAACAAAACAGCTTCTAAATTATAATAAATATAGGCAGTTATTATTCAGGGGACACATAACTTAGGCAGAACATGGTTGTTAACTAATAATTAAGCTGACATAATTACCTTAAACTAATTACATATTAACTTTAATACTTATTTTTTTCAAAACGTCTGCAATTAAGTTAAATAATTAAGTATAATTTGAAGAACTGAAATGATTACTCATAAAACGGACATACAACTTCAACCTTAATCAAAAAAGTGACAAAAGCACATATCAAAATTATTTCAAATAAAACAAAAATAATTACTAAATATAAAAATGAAAGCTAATTCGAAAATATTAAACCATTAGTAAATAAATAATACTAAAATAATTTGAAATAATTAAAATATTAAAGACTAATAGCATGTAAATAGTATTAAAAAAACAGTTTGTAATCTCTAACTATTAGAGATGATTAGAAACATTATAATCATGTTAAGAAATGTTAGGTTTGAATTAGAAGTTTGTATGTAAACTTGCAAAAATAAACAATAATACAAACATACTATTTGAAAAATACACTGTGAAAGAGCCAATTATGTAACAACTATACACCACAAAAGCTACAATGAACACGTTTTGAAGACACTATTAGTCATCATTACTAACCCTCCATTTGTTTCAAACCTGTTTGAGTTTCTTTCTTCTGTTGAACACAAAAGAAGCTATACTGAAAGGCTGAATTCTTCAGAATATCTTATATTATGCTCAACAGAAGAAAAGAAATCTTTAAATGTTTACAATCACTAGTGTGAGTAAATGGTGAGCGAATTTCCATTTTTGGGTGAACTGTCCCTTTAATAAAAGACAATATAAAGATCATTTAAATAGATTTTATTTGCTTCTTATTTTAATATCCATTTTCAGATTGTCCACATATTCATATCAGGGTGAGCTTTCTTTCTTCAGTGTGAGTGTGTTTGAGTTTGCATTTTAGTGTAAATGTGTATAAATGCATCTGTGCTGCCAAGACTGACCCTGTGTTTCTTCTGTGATTGTAAAGAGCTGATTAATAAGGTTTTATGAGTCTCTGTGCTTTCTTTGTGTGCGTTTGAAGGCTCAGTGTGAACACTGTTTGTGTCTAAAGACTTGGAGTGTTTTTCCTGCTCGGGTGTGCAAATGATCTTCTTAAGCTGAGCAGAAAGCTGCAAACTCAGTAACAAAACAAGATGTCCACCAACACGAAGTACCCTGCAGAAGGAAAAAACACATTAACTATACAACCACAGCCACAAAACAGAGATATTTGTAGATAACAGAGAAATATATGCTGATGTCATCCACCTCTCCATCTCTCTCAGTAAGAGTGGCAGAGCAGTTGTCATGTCAGAGCTACAACTGAACTTCCTGCCAAAGGGAACATCACACAGGACTGCATCAACCATTCCGTCAGCAAGAGGGATCTCTGAGGAACATAAAAATCTCAATGAAATTATTTTTAACCAGAGTTTTCTTCGCCTTGAGGAATCCCCCCATCCACCCCTACTCCTCCACCTTTCCCCTTCACAGGAAAATGCATGTAGAATCTAGATTTTTGGTTTGTTGTTTCCAGAATATTCAATGCACAAACTGTAAAGGCATTACTCTCTAATAGAATGGGGGCGGGGAGCGGAAGCTCATTTGCATTTAAAGGGACACTCACGGAAATGGCATTTGCAGCATATTAACTAAGTGTTATGATTTAGTATGAGTCTGTACGATTCGCATTTATTTTCATTTCCACTGTCAGTAGTACCAGTGCGAACCATAAAATATCACTTTTTGGGACCCTTTGTAATGGTACCTAGCAGAACAGTACAGTACAGTACAGTGCCAAAAGGATGGAACTGATTCCTTGCTGAATGTTAATTCATTTACAGAGAATCGTCACAAGCAACAAGACAAGGGAAGTGCCATTTTTAAATACACAGCCGAAACATGGACCATGCTCAAACAAAGCTTGTCATGTTCTTGTGACAAACCATAGATATATACACTAGATATCGCACACAGACCCTGAGCATGCGTCAATACCGCCACCACATTTGTACAGTACTCCCAAGACAAACGTCATTCAACCCCACTAGTCAAGACTAAAGCCAATCTGAAGATGCACTACGAACGGGTGTAGTAACAAGCGAACAAAGAAAACAAAGCACAAAGGCAGAACATTTCATAGGTAAGGATTTTGTTTTTTACGTTTTTGTATGTTACAAACTTTTGTGTTAAAAAAAGCAACGTTATGGATCATAATACCTTCACTTACTGCACTATCCATAAGGCAAAGTAGCAGCAACTCGCACTAAATTCTAAGCTTATGCTAGTGTTCTTGAATAAAATCAGCAAACAATGCAAATGAAATATGACAACAAGATGCTGCATTGCTAGAAACTTGTATTAATGTCTGCTAAGTGAAGTAACGGCTAGCTTTTGAAGTAACTTATAAGGGTGCCTGATAACATAACAGTGCCTTAGTCTCAATGTGCATACTGTCCACCCAAAATTATTGAATATTACAAATGTCAAACCATTTAGATCACAGGTGTCAAACTCAGTTCCAAAAGGGCCGCAGCTCTGCAGTTTAGTTCCAACCCTAATTAAACACACCTGATCAAACTAATTGAGTCCTTCAGGCTTGTTTGAAACCTACAGGTAAGTGTGTTGGAGCAGGGTTGGAACTAAACTGTGCAGGGCTTCGGCCTTCCAGGAATTGAGTTTGACACCCCTGATTTAGATCAAAATGTGGATATGATCATTAAGACGCAGGGATATCAATAGTTTACACAAGTCGTTCATAATGGGGATTCATTCACAAACGAATCACTCGCTCTGTTAGAATGAGAAGTGAAAGCATGAGAGGGGGTGTGTTTCAGGACAGGGATTAGATCAAATTTGTCATGGAGGGAGGATAATACATTTCTATGCACACAAACACATGCTCTATGTTGGCAATGCCCATGCGGTCACTTATCCATCGATGTAGAAAAGTGATGTAAAATTATATTTGCATACTGAGCACCGGGAAAACTCCCAATCATAGATATATGTATGAATATTTACAAATCTATGGCTCCGGATGGCCTGTCCTCCACTACACCTTGGTCCCACATTCCTTTTAAAGGCTCTATTGACGCATTCCTTCCAATTGACAACAATAGCGTAGGCGACATCTAATGTAAATATCTATGGTGACAAAGCACATGCCAAGAAGCAAGAACAGGATCTACTGCATGTCCTTTATTGTTGTTTATGGAGCTGTTCGCGTGTCATGTTTAAACATGTGGGAAGGTCGAGGGGCGTCGCTTTCTTTCTGCATTTCAAATAATACAGTGTTTCTCAACCACGTTCCTCAGGAACCACCAGCTCTGCACATGTTTCATGTCTCCTTAACCAAACACACCTGAATCAGATTAGCAGCTCATTAGCAGAGAGTGAAAGACCTATAATGGGTGTGAGAGATAAAAAAGACATCAAAACATGCAGTGTTGGTCCTCCAGGAACGTGGTTGAGAAACAATAATAGAGCAAAAAATAATACTGAAATAATGGAACAAAAGTCATGGCCTATATAGCTTTATTCTTTAAGGAAAAATGACATGGATTGCAACTATCTGGCACACACCTTGCCTGCAAAGTAAGGGTACTGTTGGCAGTGGAAACAAAAGCTTATTTAGGATGACCCATTCCTAATCCTACTGAACTGGACCATACCATACCGCTCAGTAGAAACATTAATGATCAGTGAGGGATTTTGACACAAACACAAACACATTCTATGGACATCTGAAACTTATATAATATCTTGTAAAAAGAGCATAATAGGTGCCTTTTAACGTTTACACACAATGAGAGTGGAGGCAGTTTGTACAAACCTAAGGCAGAAGACTGAAGTAACTGCACTCTTCCTTCCATTCCAGATGCTTTCACATTCTCTGCAGCTTTCTGTAACTGAGACCCGTCTGTATCCATGCCTAGAAATACAGCATTCTAAACCCACACACAACGTGCACAGTTAGTGTGTGTGTGAAAAGAGCAGCATGTGGTGCTAAAAGTGTGCTTGTGTGTGAACGTACAGAATATTCCTGAGCTGCTTCCAGCAACACAGCACCAACTCCACACATTGGGTCTAAAATCACACAATTGTTGAGCTGTGGAGAGGAACAGAAAACAGCAAAGAGTCTATGAAGAAAAAAAAATGTGTTGATTGTTAAAGTATACTTGCATAACTGTATAATACAAATGAATGTCTATCCATCTTAATAGTACATTCTAATATGTGTATTATAAATATAATATAGGTATTAAAAATTCAGGATAACTCGGATTTAGAAAAGCACTTCTTGTTTTAAAAATGAATAGGTTAATTTTTTACTCTAGATACTGCTATTTTTATTTAGGAAGCATGCATTAAATTCAAAGTAACAGATAAAGTAGAGATAGTTGGAAAAACTTTTGAAAGATTAATTTTTAATACTAGATAATAAAACTCTTACTCAGCCTTGACTAATTAAAGTTACAGTGACATTAATGATCACTTACAAAGACATTTAAATGTTTTCAAAAGATTTTGATTTCAAATAACCTCTGATCTTTTAAACTTTCTTTTCATTAAATTGATCAGCTTTACTGTGACAGGAATAAGCTGCATATTAAAACATGTTTAATGAGAAAATAGTTATTTTAAATAGTAATAAGCTCCTACACTTCTACACTTGACTTTACGTCAAATACAATTGAATGAGCATAAGAGGTGACTTTCAAAAAATGTTTACAAATCTTATCAACCCAAAATACTTA